CTGTGTGGTTCGGTTGATATGCTGGAGGGAAGGAATCCCATCCAGAGGGACCTTGACACACTCGTGAGGTGGGCTGATGCCAACCTCGTGAAGTTTAACCATGCCAAGTGCAAGGTCCTACACCTGGGTAGGAGCAATCCCAGACGCAGCTACAGGTTGGGCAGAGAAGAGATTCAGAGCAGCCCTGTGGAGAAGGACTTGGGGGAGTTGGTCGATGAGAAAATGAACATGAGCCGGCTTCAGTGTGCGCTCGCAGCCCAGAAAGCCAACCGTATCCTGGGCTGCATCAAAAGGAGCGTGACCAGCAGGTCAAAGGAGGTGATCCTGCCCCTCTGCTCTGCTCTCGTGAGACCTCACCTGGAGTATTGTGTGCAGTTCTGGTGTCCTCAACATAAAAAGGACATGGAACTGTTGGAACAAGTCCAGAGGAGGCCACGAGGATGATCAGGGGACTGGAGCACCTCCTGTATGAAGACAGGCTGAGAAAGTTGGGGCTGTTCAGCCTGGAGAAGAGAAGACTGCATGGAGACCTCATAGCAGCCTTCCAGTATCCGAAGGGGGCCTATAGGGATACTGGAGAGGGACTCTTCATTAGGGACTGGAGTGACAGGACAAGGGGTAACGGGTTAAAACTTAAACAGGGGAAGTTTAGATTGGATATAAGGAGGAAATTCTTTACTGGAAGGTAAGGCCTCGGGTGACATGGTTTAGTGTGAGGTGTCCCTGCCCCATGGCAGAGGGGCTGGAACTAGATGATCTTAAGGTCCTTTCCAACCGTAGCTATTCTATGATTCTATGATTCTTGTGAGTGCAGTCATGAAACATTCACTGAAGAGAGCTCAGTGTCATAGGAAGAGGCGAGAGGGAAAACAGCAGGATCAGATGTCTGAGTAAGATATAATATGTAAATGTATATATCTGATTACTGAGATATGATACTCAGGTCTCTACTTGTTGTTTAAATGTGCTGATAAAGAGCTGCTTCTGAAGCCAGTCTTGGGTTTAGAATAGTGTATAGTTTTTATATGTCCACAACAGACCTCAGATACATATGCTCGCAATGTGAGTTTAGCCTATCTGAACAGGTTTTAGCTTCTGTTAAACTGCCTTGAGGTTCCCCAGCAGTAATTAAAAGGAAAAGGAAATTTCTGTTGAAGAAGTGTAAATGATGAGATGTACCATCAAAAAAAACCCCAAACAACCCTGTAGCACCTTAATGAGCACCAGTTTTGAAGTCAAATAGAAGATGCTGCTTTTTTTTTTGAAGCCTGATCTTTGTAAAACACAGCCAAGAAGGAAATGAAGGAAAGAAATTCAGGCAATATGCCAGGAAGGCTGTATGAAGGCAGCAGTAAGCCAACCTCGAGTTGGTGAGCTGCGGAGAAGTAGGCAACTGAGTAGGGAACAAATGTAAGGAAGGGAAATACGTCATCACCTTTCCAGACAAACAGCCTCGATAAGAAAGGTAATCAACCTTCTTCTGACAGCATGGTCAGAATGGGAGGCAGCAGTCATCTGCTGTGGAGTGTGGTTCTGCAGGCCAGTGAGTAGCAGACATAGTCTGGAGAGACTGAATCACGTGGCATGTGTCCTGAATCAACCTGACTTTCAGGAATTCGTGATAGTGGAGATCGACAAGATTGAGGGACAGATGTCATAGTGGGCTCCATTCAAGATAGTTCTCAAGGGGTATCACTGCTAAAGTGTATTTATAACTGTTCTGTTTGGAACCTTTGAGGGAACTTTTGAAGTCACAGTCCTGGATGAATCAAAGATAAAGTGGATTCTAAAAACTGTCAGCTGAAAGGGGTAAGTGTCTTAGACACTGATTGTATAGGAGTAAGACTGAAAACAGATGGAAAGGAGGAATAACATTAATTAAGATCCATCTGTTCCAGTCTTTTCTTTTTCTGGGCACCCAGAAGTCCTGTGGAGCTGGATGGGAAACTCAAAACACCTAGTGATAACCACAGAGGAGATGTTTGACCTGTTAACACTGTGACCCCTGCTGGACTTAGTCTGTGGATGTATTTGTACAAACAGTCCCCTCTTGAGCACGGGTACCCTCCGCCTGGTGGAGTGCGAAGGTCTCTGGCTCCAAGAGCCCTGTGAGATCCATTTCCTTCTTGTGGACCTGCTCAGCCTGGGCTGAATGCCATGTACTACCTGGGAAGGCTTCAAATACAGAATATGACATCAAATAAATGTCTTCTGACATCTCAGTGCACCCTAGACCTGTCTTTATATTATAATTTACTTGGTACCTTCTCGTTGTCATGTTTTCTGACCATGTTGCCTGCCTTTGCTGTTCCAAGTATGGGTTTTGTCCTGTTAAAGATGGTGTCATTGGAGCGATTTCTCCTTTCCTTTGAAGAAAGGCAGTTCCAGTGCACTGCCATAACTTGGCAAGCAGCTCTTCATTCTGACTGTCGAAGATGCTTATTACTTCTTATTATTACTCTTGTAACTCAAACACAGCATGTGAGGTGAGATAAACAGATCAGCAGTGTAATAATTCTGGAGCGTGCAGGGATCTTGGTGTTCTTTATATGGAAAGGCTCGAACAAGAATCTGAATTTGGCTTTTTTTTTGTCACTGGGAGCAGTGAAGAGTCTTTATAAAGTCTCCTGAAGCAATAGTGAGATGAGTTTACCTTCTGCAGGCCAGGAAATGAATACTGTCAATTTTATGATGATATTTAAATGATTGAATAGTATACATGATTGTAATTAGTCAGTCACAATTGTTTGGAAACGTTTTGCATTGTGGAGAACACTTGCAGAAGTTTGTGTTATTGATACATCAGGAACAATTTGCTGGAATGATTTGGGAGAGGACTTTTTAACAATAAAAAAAAGCCTGCAGGAAAACTCTCATCACCTCGCCACAACATAAAGTGGGAAGGAAAAAAGTGTTGCATGGATTATTTATACAGGTGTATCTTGATTACCAGATTTCAGATCTCTTTCAGCTTTTACAGTGGAATAAATACAATAAATAGCTATTTTTTTTTGTGTTGTCTTTTTTGTTAAAGTTCATCATTAGTAATGCTTTGCTTTTTTTCCAGCCTTTTCATATTAAAGTGAAATTTAGCTTATGCTATGCCTGTTTTTCCCAATGATTTCCATCTGATGTCTAAAAACTAGAAGAGGACAATGAGCTTGCTGAGGTGTATTTTGGGTGTCCCAGTGTAACACATCTGAATTGCATAAATGGATTTTGTAATCTTTTGCCTTGTAGCTTGCACAACGTGGATTAAGTTAATTATTTATAGCTTGTCAGGGCAGCTGTTGAAGTGTCCCATGCAATACATGCAAAGTTGAATCTGACAGGAAGCCATCCTTCTGTGCCTTGTCAGTCTGGGTAGGGCCAGAAGACTTGAACTAGTTGATTAAAGAACTTGGAGACCTCTTTTTCCAGAGGAACAAATGCATCTTGGTTGTCCCATAAGTAAATTTTCCTGTGCTCGTAATTTTAATCGCTTTAAAAATGTCTCTGTTCTTCCTTTTCCCTAGCTATTGTCTTTCTGATCTCTTAATGGTCACGTTACCTACTCGTCTGTCTCATGGCCCTTCTAGAAATAAGATGCTGCTGGACCACCTCAAGCTGTGAAGAGCAGCCACTAGATGGCAAGCCACATGCTAAGATAAGGGCAGCGGGACCCACTAAGGCTTAGTGTAGTGTTTATACTTGCTCACCATCATCATTTGTATATGCAGTGGGATACCTAATCGTATTTACAGGGCCTTTTTCCTTTAATGTCTGCTTATGAGAGAGTTTGCTGCATTTCAGCTGGTTTCCACGGAGTGTTAGCGTGGAGGAGCTGCCGTCGATAGATGGTAAGCCATATCCCACTGCTGGGCAGGCAAGAGAATCACCCTGCTGGTGCCCCGCCTCCATCCCTGTCTCCCTTCGCTGGGCACAGGGCCCACGTACTGTCTGCCAGGCCCTTGACCTTCCCTGCAGTCCTGCTGCTGACCTCTCCAGCTGACCAGCTCTGGGATCCGCTCCCTCTCCTCACCCAATAGGGACCTGCTTTCTGCGGAGCCGCTGCTGAGTCAGGCTTTCACAAATCAGCAGACCCTGACCATGAAAGCGCTTAAATTTGTTCTTTCCTTTACCCCAAACATTGGGTCATCTTTCTGCATCCAAACTTCCTCTGACGTCAGTGTAGGTAAGGGATCAGGGACAGTTATGTTTTTTCTTACAAGTAATGCTGACATGACCACTGGTCAGGTTAGGAGACCTGTGAAACTGAGAGCGTGGGAGAGATCTCATAGAATCAAAGATGTCAGTGGTGCCCCAAAGCTGGTGGGTACTCGGTGTTATCCATATGTATTCTTATTAGTACCTTTAATATAAAGATCATTTCCTGTGCTATTTCCTTGAGATACAAGGAAGAGGCGTGAATAACTAGAAATTAAGCGATTCAGTTAATACCTTAGGAGACTGTAACATTGCTTGAGTTGAGTTGCTGTACTCACTACAAGTCTTTATCCGAGTAAGATATAATGGACATCTAGGAGTTGTGATAATGGAATAATCCTTGAACTCTCTAAACTCTCCTACTCTTGGAAATTCACTGCATTATGCCTTGTGGAATAAGCTGCTCTACAGTTATTTATTGTTCCAGAAAATAGAACCAAACCCTTCCAAGAAAATTGGTAGTACTTGTGTTCTTCTTTGAGCTTATGTTGCTTTCATGCCTTTCAGGTCAGTGTGAGAAAACAGACTAGTGTGTTTACATTTGCTTTTAATTGATCTTATGCTGACTTTGCATCCTTTTGTGGGGCATCAGTTCTGGGATCTGTAAACAAAGAGATGAGATGCTCATGTTATGTTTCAGTCAACAGGGTATAGGTTTTGGGTTCAGATTCTAGCTTCAGTGAGAACAGTGGGAGGTTTCTCACTAGGTGGAATTATTCAGAAAGCATTTGATGTTTATTTAGCTTCTCTCCCAGTGAGTGTGGTGAGAAAGGAGCTCAGCGTTGAGTAGTAGTGAAAATTTCACCCTTGGTGTGGCATCATTGTTTGTCCTGTTGTTTGGTCAGGTCAGCTAACTTTTCTGTACTGCAAGAATTTCTCCTGTAAGATGAGAAACTCAAACTAACTTTTCTTTAATCCACGTAGAAATGAGAAGTGTGATGTATAAAAAGGCTGTTTTTCTAAGAATGTTCCTTTTCAAAGGATGGGTTTGTATGCTTTAATACAAAAGGTAGATATAAAATAACTGAATGTCTCTTGTCCAAATATTGGTTCTACTTACAGTAAAAGTAGAGACTACTTAATGCATGACTCCAATAGATAGATTGATGTAGGGGTTTGAAGTCTAGCTTGGTGAAGATCTGCATCTCTTAAAGGAAGAGGCAAAATAAGACATGGACCCTGCCTTTGAAAAATAAAATATAGTTTCCAGAGCAGAGACTAGTGAAAACCTTGTACCATCACTTCTAGCTGTTTATAAAGTAATAACTGACTGCCACTCTTTAATCTTATGGGTGTTCTGCTAGAATGTGGTTCATTCCTTAGTCTGTAGTGCTTTGTCTGAAGTGGAAGTGGTGGAGCAGAGACTGACTCTGTGCTCTGAACTGACAAAGAGACGAACAGGCTGGGGCCTTGTTCTTGATCTTCACTGGTGCAGTGAAAGTGACAGACAGTAATAAACTTCTAAATTAGGGGGCTAAATGTAAAAAGTAAAATTTACAATCACATGCCAGTGTTAGCTGATCAGTGCAACAGAACAATTCACTAAAATAAAGATCTGATTAAAAAGTTGCTTCTGCCGTGCACAGCTGTAACATGGGATGATGTGATGATGGGAAAAGAGGTTAATTTGAATGGCCATTGAAGTTCCTTAGGATCTGAGTATTTGATATCAATGGCTTGGAGCTGATGATATTAGAATCCTGTTAGTTCTTCTTGTTATTTCAGCTCTCGGTGCGGGTTACTGTTGGTATTTTTGTGCTTAATAGTTTGCAAGACATGGAATATGCAGCAGGTTGCATGTTATAAAGCTCCACACTAGTCCTTTTTAAAATCTATTATCTGCCGCAGTCGTTATAAAATATGATAGGAAAAGAACTAGGTCTTTCCTCTGGGCTTTTTTAGCCTATTTCCTTTTTCTTCAGAAGCTTTTGGTTTAGATTTCAGTTTCTGTGCCACAAAGCTTGCAATCTTTCCCTCCTATTGGAAGTATTCTATTGTGGTAATAAACCTAGTAATATTATAGGACTGGAACCATGGTAAGTCTTGGAGGGAGATGCATTTGAAATCCTGCATTCAACTCCCCTGTGTTTTCATTTATATAGAATAGCTTATATTTTGTTCAAGGCAAAAGGCTTTTTGTGTTGTCTTTATTAAAGTGAGTGATGTTGGCTACTCTGCCCGCTTAACTTGAGGTGCTTTGTCTAGATCTGATTTATCTCCTGGAAGGATCACTGAAAAAAACATTGCAAAGAAACTGGATTTACTCAGCAGAAGCCAGACAGAGGTGTGATTTGACACTCCCCTATTGCTAGTTACAGAGGTAAGAAGGCAGTAAACAGCTAGCAGTCTGTTAGCAATTTCTGCAATCCCAACCTTGTGAACCGTTTAGGGCACATTCACTTTGTCTTGGGAGAAGCAGCTCTGAGAATCCTATATGCACACATCTTCATACTGTATCGTATGCTTTCATCTTTTTTCTACAGTATTTTTCTAAGCTGTTTGGTTAAAGCCCATCTTAATTTAAAAAGCCTGTTAATCATGTCTGCATCAAGATACATCAGCGCATTCGCCTACAGTACAGGTATATCTGTACTTGTTAGGTGTCTGCATTAGTCATACTGGATATTTTATTGCAACAGCCTTGTAATTCAGTTATTAGTAAACATCTTGACCTCATTTTGCCTGCTTGAATCCTGCAAAGTAATCTCCTGTCAACCCATGAAAACTACCAGCTCTGTCTTTTGTATTCAGATAGAAAACAATACAGGATACAAAGTAACAGTGGGAGTAACCAGTTTTATTATAAAAGGAAGCCACTCCAATTCAAAAGGGACATGAAGACATGTACTTGTTATGAGGCAGTATGAAGGGCAGTCATGATAAATGATCAGCAATGCTTGGCGTCTGTAAGTTCATAATGCAAATATAGGAAGTGTAATGCAAACCAGATGGGAGATGAATGTATTCCCTCCAAGTAAATTCTTGAAAAGTAAAGGTAACTTGTTCTTCATGAACTGGAAACCTTCAGGAATGATGGTGTAAAATTCCTGTTCAGTGCCTTTAAATGTCTATACTTGGCATAAAGTATATCACTGAAAGCAGCGAGTCTGAGTGTGAGGTCCTGATGTTTGAAAATAATCCAGGTAATCAGGATATCATTGATATATGTCTCCCTGAGTAGTCAGGGATTCAGAGACATGTTTAAGATGTACACGAGGGTTTAAAGTTGCCAGGGGAACATCGATCCATTCCGCTCCTACCAGCTTGATGCCAGTGCCAGAAAGAGATGCCCAGAGCCTAGAGAGGGACCTCAGGTCAGTAGGAGGGCACCTGAAGAGCAGCAAAAGGAATTCTAGCCAGTAAGATGGCTTCACCAGGGTCTCAATTCAAATGCCTTTATGCAAACACGTTTAGGCAGGAAATAAGCAAGAGGAGTTAGAGATATGGGCATGCCTTCAGGGGGTTGATCCTATTGGCATCAGGGGGATGTGGTAGGATGACTCCTACTAGTCTTTCTGGAATGTTTGAATGGAAGGATACAGGCTCTTCAGCATCGACAGGCAATCTTAATAGAATAACTTAGGCTGTAAGAGTCTTTTTTACTTTGGGTTGAGACTGTAGGATATCAGGAACATGGCTTAAGAAAATCTGTGTTTTGGAGATGAAGTAGGATTGAAGGGGAGACACAGGACTTGAAGTAATTTAAGTTTCAACTTCTGTAGTACATGTGTAACATTATCCAGTTTGTAGGCTGTTCAAGGTTTATTTTGAAAGCGGTTAATCTTCCATGCATGGGTGCTCTTGGAAGGGTGTTCTTCAACATTGCTGCTATAATGTTTATGGCTTTCCTAATTTTCACCTTAAATGATTCATGCTGAGTTTATTGCAATTGCTCTTGAGCCAGCCCTATCCATGATTTTCCTGTGGGGCTTTTTCTTTCCTGTCTGATGTTTATTGTCTGTTACTATTACTGTCAGTATTTAGAATGCATTTGTTTTGAAGAGAGCTCACAGTCTGGGGATACAAGCTGACCATGATGGCTGTAATTTGAGGCAACTAGCCTGTTTCAGTGGTGATTATGGCATCTGCTCTCCTGTATTGTACTGGTAACAAAGCTCTGCTAAAGTTCTCCAGGGGACTGACTTTCCTTACTTGTCCAGTCTAGGTTAAGTGTACTTTTGACAACTTGGACATCTTAATGGTAGGAGCTAATTGGGAGCTAGAAGGAAATTATAGTACAAGATATTAATATGGACAGGATTCTGTTTAGTAGGGTCTGTAAAGAGGGGCAGTCTTGTTCTTAGATGAACAGAAGTAGCTGGAGAATGCTTGCTAGCTTTTGGCATACAGATCCTTCCTAGACAGAGCAGTTAAGTGCCAGGTTGATTCAGAAAGCCTCCTTTTGTTAGCAGAAGCAGCTGTGGAGGATTTATTGTCTTTTGAATGAGCTGTCCACTGAAATACTGCATTCTAAAATGAGAAAGGGATTAGCAGTGAGATACACAGGGCAGCCAGAGCACTTGTGCAGATGCCCAGACAGGTTTAGGACAGGATGTTAAATAGAAATTATCATTATAGTTGGTATCAGAGTTTTGACAAGGAGCCATATGCCAGATTGCATCTGGTGTATAGATGAGAGAAAACTAGATTTAATGATCTCCTGAGCAAAATTCATCCACACCTTCACAGGGGCAGAAGAAAACAGGGGAGGCAGACCTCTGTGTAGAGACTGTCCCCTGGGAAGAGCAGCAGTGGAAAATTAGCCATGTAGGGTATGGTATGGGAGCTAGCCTTTACTTATTTAGACTGGCCCAGAAGCTCCTACTTGTCTGCTCTGGGATCTTGGAATATCAGGGTATTATTTGAAGGCAGAGAGGAGGTGCTTTAGCAGCTGTTCAGAAGCATGAAGAGCTCTGCATAGCTGTTGCAGCTGCTCCCCCCTCCTTTCCTCCTTGAAAGAACCACTGGGGACTGTGCTTCCACCCATGACAAAGGCAGCAGTCAGTCTATAAGGGGACTCCGCTTCCTTCTGGTGCGTCCTGGGGCAGAGTTACAGTGACTAAATGCATAAGATACTCCTAGAACGTCAGCAAAGAAGAGAAAGAAAAACTAAGAAGAAGGATTAAAATACCTTACTGATTTTTATTGAGTTAGATTATTGGACAGGTGTTTGATCTCTCATGATACCCTGAAGGCAAGTAAAAGACAACTTGTAAGTGTCAAGTTAGCTGTTGCTGAAGACAATGCTGATGAAGAGCAGGAACATCTGTGGAAAAGCCTGCTTGAAAACAAGTTGCTTTTCAGGTCATATTTGAAGCATCCTTTGTCTGGTCCACTGGAATTAGGTAATGAAAGAAAACATGTGGATGAATTGAACCAAGTCTTGCTTTGCCGATTGTTCTTGAAGACTAGTGACAACTCATACTTCTCAACTGAAGGCTGAATTAACTCAGTTCATTTCTTCTAGCTGTCAGAGGAAGCCAGTGGTAGGACTAAGAAAAGAACTATAATTAAACTCCACCCATCTTCAAATGCAGGTGAAGAGATCATAATTCATGAAATGAATCTATACAATTAGAAAATGTTCATACAATTATAAGCTGAACACTGAATGACTAGTGATTCATGAATAATGACCCAGTATCCACTCACAAACCTCAGTGAGGAGATCCAATTTATATTCTGTTTGTGACCATGATCTTTTTCAAACCTGTACCTGTAACCAGAAAGACCTTTTGGGAGACTTACAAATGAAGTATGAAGTATGAGCATCCCTATCCAGTCAGATAACAAGTCCACTTACTTCAAGAGTTTGTCTTAAACAGTGGCCCATAGGTAATGCCAAGGAAGAAGAGACATCCTCAGGCAACACTCTCTGCCTTCACATTCACAATCTGTAACCAATACATAAAATAATGAATAAATAAATAAATAAAATCAAAATTTGAACCTGTATGGGGAACTCACGATAAAGCAACACAACCATCAATAGCTTATGCTCTGGAAAGAATCTTTAAGGTAGGGTATGTAAAGCCCTAACTAACCTGGTATGTCCTCACAGCTGACCCTGATTTCAGCAGGGGGAGATCTCTGGAGATCCCTGAAAAGAATGCCAGTGCATGCTCCCAGGAAGGATATTTGTGCCAGCTGAAGTTGAATCTCCAGAGCCAAAGCAACCAGGGGAAAGATGCACATGTTTTGGCAACAGCGGGTACTTATAAGGTTGTAGCAGTAGTCCAGCTATTAGAGAGGGGTAGCAGGCACACAGGATTAATGCAAAAACGTTGGAAGCTTCATACATGAGCATTAAAGGACTGACTTGGGACTTTGTTTTCTTTACTCTCTGCTTTACCAAACTGCTCCTCATAAATCCCTCCCCAGAACCCTCTTCACAGTTGCCTGTGTTTCTTCCCTCCCATTTCCCGCAAGAGGAGCATGAGAACAAACCAACAAACCTTCTCACCTTTGGTTTAAACCTTTTCCTTCATTACCTCCGGCATTGGTTTGTTGTTGTGCTCTCATACATTTATTACCTAATTCTGGCAGTAAACTCCTTTGGCAGGAATAGTGTTTCCTTAAATTTCACTGTATTTATTGAGCTCCACATAGGGTCATCTGCAGAACAGATTATCGTTACGATTGCAACAGCCAGGTCTGTAGGATTAACCAGTCAGAATGAGAAAAGCCAGTTGCCTTTTTTTTTTCCCCCTAGGTTCTTGACTAATATCAGCTGCTTTCTGAGCTCTTTAGTGAGTGAGTGTGACTGCAGGGAATTTGGGACTTCTAAAACACCCATCTCTGAGTTATGAATGGGCAAATGGGTATTTCTAAAATGGGAAGCCTGCTAGACGTGAACTGACTGGTAAGTCAGAATAACTTGTCTCAGAATCAGTTTGTGTTTGTTTGACAAAAGGTTTTCATTTTAGCTCACTCAAGTGAGTTCTATGTGAATGGAGATGTTCTTCTGTAATGCAAGTTTACTGAGGGTTTGGGATTTTTGGGTGGGTTCCCCTTCTCCATCCCCATTTTTCTCTGTCATTTCTGGTAATTCAGTTTGGCTTGGGGTGGGATTTCCAGACTTCACTTCACAAACTCTTCTGCTCCAGTGTTATTTAGAGGGTTTGGAAAAATCCTATTCTAGGTGTCTCTAGTTCTCTGCCTATGAAATGGGTATTGTAATAGACTATCCTATCAGGACAGTGAGAGAATTAATTTGGCATAGTGTGATCAGTGACAGTGTTGAGATGAGGTCTGAAGTTTTATATTACTGTGTAATCTATATCTAGAGGTCACTATATATAGATTAGTTTTTTTTTTCTTATGTGTATATATAAATACTAAGTTGCTGAGTCAAAAATACACATTATGGTGGAATATCGTAAGCTGCATTTACTGCCTTTGCAGAGAGGGATAGTTTAGCTATAAGGTTATCACCAAGGCTAGGCAAAAATTTGTGCATGGGATTCCTTAAAAAAGAGATGACATGATTACCTGTGTTCTTTAAACCGAAGCAAAACATCATGCATTATGGAAAACACAGATTAGGAAACTAAGCATGTTTGATTTTGGTGTTAATGCTGTAATGGTTAGTTGCTTTAAGATTGCTGTAACATGTTACCTGTGGTTATGAGTAATAATTGTTATTTAAAGCATTACAAAACTATTTACGAGTACTAAGCTTGTGTACACTAATTTTAAGATTGATGCTTGCTACGTGAGGGTAGTGCTTATATAAATTTGCACAGATACAAAGCAAAAGAGCTGAAGATTTCTTGGAGAAAAGCATCATTTTCCTAATACCTCTGTAACACAAAGTGGGAGGTGCCAGACAATAGGTGTCAGCACTGGTTCAGTTATGCGCAACTTCGCTGCAGCTGGTGTTAAGCCCAAGTTTGCTGTGAACTAGACTTTGAGCAAGCTGAATGCCTGTAAAGAAGTGCTGTGACAGTGTTTGGCACTTCTTATAAAACAGCTTTTTTTCAGGGGATAGACTGGGCAATAGAATACACGAGTGAGAAGATAAAAGCAGGTAAAAACAATGTATGTGTGGTATGCCATGTTTCCAAAATACTGAAGGAAAGGCTGTTTCTGAAAGTGGTGTTTTAATTAGATTTTGTTGTTTTGTGAGTTGTTCAGAGAGGCTCCTGGGACGAGACTTTGATGAAGCGCTTTCCTAGGGACTTTAAGAAAACAAAAGAAACCCTTATTGAAGCGAATAAGCCCGGTAGGCTGAAGAAGGAAAGCAAAGTCACAAAAATCAGGGTGGAGCAGACAGGACTAAGTACAGTGCTAGGAAACTTCCATGAGACTTTGGAATCATGCTGTTTTATGGAGGGATTTTGAACTGGAACTAAGGGGTTTGATAGCTTGTTTGTGAAATCAATGCATGTCACATCCAGGGGGCCGTGGACAATTCTGCAACAGCTTTGGAAGCAAAACCAGGAAGACTTAATGCAAAATGTACAGTTGTGCAATGGAGAAACCAGATGAGACCCCATCAGGAAGTGGAAGACAACTTCTTCATAGAATTGGATTCCTCTGTGTTTTGCTGGTGACACTCACATAAGGATATACAGTCCAGGATATGAGGATTAAGCCAAAAAGATGTAAGCCTAAATGCTGTAAGATCCCAGTGAAAACATTATGGTCTTCAACCAGCACCTCTTTTAAGGTGCTGGATTAGAGTGTCAGTTGTCTAGAATTGCTTTTATCTGGACAAATGCTTATCTGTTTAAACTGTGTCCTTGCAGGTGGAGGATACTGTAGCTTTAAAACTGTAAGGAAAGATAGTGAAATAGCCTTGCAGTCAGTCTACTAGCTGATGTGCGTGTATGGAGGAGTTGATAAATAAGCAGGAGCTCTCATTAGAGACCTGTGTGTGGTGACTGCCAGGGGGATGGCTATGCACAGAGCTTTTCCTTGTTAATATTTGGTGGGGGGATAGCTGAGATCCCCCCCCACCCCAAGTGTGTGCTGTATTGCAAAATCCTGTGTATTCCTGGCAGCTGTTGCAGTGGCACACTCCGAGTGCCCCAAGCCTGGCAGTATAATCTAAAGGGAATGCAGTTGAATTGTGATCTATTGCTATATAAAAGGGGGCGGGTCACTCTGCTGGTTCCAGCTCCTTTTCTGTCATTACTGCTGCAGAGGCACCAACCAAAGGCAGCTGGCACGCCTCTTCGTTGGCTCTTACATAATGTGGGGTTTCACAGGGCACTGATGTAGAAATAAAGTCAAACATTCTTGAGGCAGACTCACATTACTTGTATCGCTGGTGCTCGCTTCGCTGTGGGGTGTAGGGCTGCTCTTGGGAGGGTGATCTGTGGCCCTGTTTGAGTGAATTGTGGAAGGTGCGCAGGATGGCTCCAAGCGACACAAGGGATGAACTTGTTTTCTTTGTGAATGGGAAAAAGGTAAGGAAGATTCCAGCTTTGTGTCTTGATTACTTATTTTTCTGGTAATCTTTTTCCTCCTGTCAAGGTTTCTGATACCAGCACAATTGCCATGGCATTTACCTATTAAATTGTGAAGACTGCTTATTGCTTTACTAAGTGGTTTTTTCTCTTCTTTGACTTTACCTTGTGAACCACTCAGAGTAGCTCAAGTGTATAATGTTCCTTTTACATTTTAGATTTGTTGGCAATAATTTCCTGCAGTTCTGAGGCAGCTAACTAAAGGTGCACTAACTTCATGCAGGCATTTCTACTAGAAATCGTTTCAGTAATTACAACAGATCTGGAAAGCATAACTCGTATGTAAATATCCATATATAATTTGCATGTCCAGTGTGTAATTATGACTTGATTTTTAGAAGGGGTTTCAGCAAAATGTTCGTTCCATTTCCATTTAGAAAGCTAGAAAGCTCTAAAAATCAAAGCCCATTAACTGATACTGTTTCCTAGATCAACTGCTGAGAATTACCCAAGAAGTGACTGTGTCTTGCAGGAGGGTGTGTGGTCCTTGCATATGCTAGACACCTTTGTTTGCCCCAAAGCCCCCTCTCTGTTTGGATTTCCCTGACTAGCATTGCAGCCTTGACTATTCCAAAGCTTGGAACAAGTCAAGGCTGCCTGGTTTTGAATTACGAGTACCAAGTTAGCTCTGTTTGTGAGCTCAGCTCAATGCTAACCTTGCCCTGCTGCCTTCCCCTTGCCTAGATAGTTGGGGAGGGAAACTTGTGCCAAAGTAGCTTTCAGCTGGGAGACTTGGGGAGGGGAGAGGGTTGCATATCCACTGTCTGCTGTGGAGCTGAGAGTTTGTGCACTGCTTAGGGGTAAATCACGTGCAGCACCAGGTTTGGGCTAGAGAATATGTATGTATTTTATTTAATCCTTTGAGATTAAACAAACACATTATTCTTAGCTGGTTAAAAAGCTCTGTGCCCTGCCCTATAGACTGGCACAGGTTTGGTCTCATTTTTGCTTTTGTTGATCTTTCTTGCTAGTTTAATCAAGTGTAAATGTGGGTGAGATTGTTGGTACAATGAGAGTTTTTAGTTATGAATTTGGATCCCAGAACTGGATTGGAATTTGAACCTTCCAAGGTACTAGAGCATTTGATACTAAAGTTTTGTTTTATCAAAGTATCGATAGTTAGGTGAAGAATGAAGCTTACCTAGAATGGATTGCAAGTCAGTAGAAGGGCTTTTGAATGTAAAACTGACCTAGAACCCAGTCCTGTTTCTGAGGTTCTATAAAGAAGGGTGACAGCTAAGCTTTGCTCACACAGATCAGGAATGGCTCCTATGTCAATGTTAATTGACATATCAGCTGTTCATTGTTTCTAGAGGGAGGTGAAAACTTGAAGCTCCAGGTTAATCCTGACTAGGTAATGGAGCCTCATCAAGGCTGTGAAGCAGTGGCACAAGTTGATGTGCGAATTTCATCTGATGCATTTTCTGCTATGGTGGGCACAGGTTGCATACCATTAACTTGTCATCTTCTTGCCCTGTGAAGGTTTTAGTGACTTCAGCTCCTTACTCTGTGAACCCCAGTTTTTAGAGGGTGAACTGGGAGCTCTTTGAGTCTTGCAGTAGGAGGTTGTCACAAACATGTTGGACAATCCAGAGCCTGACACAGGTCAAGTACACTGCCTTGTTTTCATTTTCTGGTATGCTCTAATGGAAGAGAATTGTAGTTCTGGTGCCAGAGCAGCTAAGGTTCAAAACCAAGATGCTACTCCTGGTAGGTATGAAGAGTTTATAAACAAATTCTTGTATGTGTTTACAGCTTCAGCATTTATGAGTAGTTATCTATTATTAGTAGTACAGGAGCATTGCTCTGCAGAAATCAATGGAAAAGCCCTTCTTCTTGGAGGAGACCCTTGGCTAACATGAAAATGTATATCGGTCAAGGCAAAAAAGAAGGGACTGAGCTGCACAGAGCTGATTCTGTGGGACTCTTTTATGTGCTGTGAGGCAGAGAGGGGAAGAAAGAGCAGCCTAGACCCTGAAGGCTAGCAGTGGAAGGCAAACAGTTCTTTTGTATCTGTTATCTGTTCTTGCTCCATCCTGAAGCTCGTAAATATGTTGTGAATGGCATTGCCCTTGATGCATTTCAGCAATTTTTATGGAACTGCAGCTCTTGTTTACAAAAGCCACATCTCAGAGCTGACCTTGTGCATGTGTAAAGGGGTTTATCACAGTGTGATCTTGACAGCTGTTGGCTAAGAAAACCCCACCAGGGAATGATTAATACTACCAATGCTATCAACTCATTCCGTGTGTCAAGGCTGTCTCAGTATCCTTCCCTGCTGGCTCATGGATGTGACATTGCTAGCAAAGGAGCATGTTCCACTGATCAGAGAGGAGAGGGCTTCATGGGTTGTGCTCTACTCAGAGCCTCTAGTGACATTTTTTTCCTATTCCTTTTTTGGATGTGTTGCCAAAATGGCTTGAGTTACACCACCACCAAATGCAGGTTTAAGAGAGAGAATTGGGCTCATGGGGCAATCCAATCTGTGGCAACGAATGTGGAGTTTGTTGGGACATGTCTGCACAATGAGATGTTATGTGATAGAAGGGGTGATGGGAAGTGCCTGGGCAACGCTGCTGAAACAGGAGGTAGCAAGGTAGGATGTGGCTCCATCCATAGAGTCCTGGCTAAATATCCCTGTTGATTTGCTGCGAAGAATGTGATAACATTGCCTGTGAGAAAGGCTACTGCTGTGTGAATTCTTGACAGCTTGACATTGCTAATGGGTTGCCCATATTCTGTCATAGTACAAAACTGCGATAAGAGGTGGTTGATAAGATAGGGACTTTCATGGCAGCAAATCCTTCCCTCTTACTTTAGCCCAGTCTGCAGTGTTGTCAGAGAAAAAGTCTCTTCAGGACAGCTGAGCATACTTCACATTCAGGACTGTTTATTTTAAGCACCTGTTTACTTCACTGGGTATAAAGCTTGGCACGTAACTAACACAGAGTTATCGATGTTAACACAGAGTTAACACAGAGTCTGCCTCGAGCAGAATGGAAAACAACGCACACAGTTTAAAACTAATAGTGGCAGTTTTGTTTTCCTCCGCTGACAAGTCTGTCCGATGCATATATAGCATGTAATTTTAGTTCAAACACATGGAGTCAATATTTCTGGGACCAGCCAAAATACAGGATTTTTTTTGAGCTTTGGGATTCTCTGGGCCCTACATAAACAGTGAATTACAAGTTTTCAGCGTGCTAGTTTAAAGCAAAACACAATGTTCTCATGAGCAATAGCAGATTTACATTGTGTGGTTATATTCAGTGTGTTCCTCGGTGTTAGAATCCTTTGCCCTACTAAATGAATTTGAAATCTCTCATTGACTTCAGGAAATACACGTTCACAGATTTTAAGGTCCTAGGGGACCTTTACCATTGTCTAGTCTGACTTGCTGTGGAGCAGTCTGGTTAAAACCTTCCACCTTCTCTTCTAGTGCCTAATTGAGTGACTAGGGACTAGTGATCAAATGGGAGCTTGTTGTTCAGAAAGGCATCTGTGTCTCATTTGAAGACCCTAGCTGATGGAAAGCTTAGCATGTTGTTTGGTAAACTAGGGAAGTTTCCATTTTCTTTGCCTTTTTGTTTCTCTATTTAGCTTTCTCAACTACTGTTCTTTTAAATTGAAAACCCCTTTCTTTAACTTTCTGGGAATACTAATTTAAACATGATGCTTTATGTTGTAAAGGAGAACTCATCTGAGTTAGTGAACGTGGGTAGAGAAATAATGTGTACTGAGATCCAAGTTTTTTACATAAAAACATGGGGAAGTGAGCTGAACACCTCTCTGGACCAGCCCATGGACTCTAGGTGTGTGGAACTGCTTAGGAACTTGTTCCATGTAGTGCCTGAATAGCTATGGAGCCAGGCTGAGCTCCCTGCTGAGGTGATCTGTGTGTTTAGGAGTCCTAGAATCAGTAGGCAAATAGATGTGTACTACAAATACAGCAGTACAGAGCAAATTTGTCTGGAGTCATTTGACTGTCTGTGCCATCCTAACATTTCCAACAAAGTTTCCTTCTGCATTTGATTAATATTTAAGCTACCACATGCAGTAAAATCCACAGTTTTGGATCTGCCAAAGTGATGTATCTGGCAATATGAAATTTGGCTTAAAAATAAAATCAAAAAACCCAGCCAGTAATGAGCAAAAATGAAATATTTCTTTAATCGCAGTGTCTAAGTAGGTTGATCCTACTCCCACTGAGGGCACTGAATATAATTCATTTTCCTTCTATACAAGGACACTGGGGGAGGTGAGCAGGAATTGTTTTGATGGGTAAGATACTGAGCTGTGAATCATATTGTTCTGGGCACCAGACAAGAGAAGATGTTATCCCCACCCACAGGGTTTTAAAATATTTTCAGAACAAATCACAGCAGGTGATTGTAACAAACCAAAGGCTGGTGGTGTCCTGCAGCATGTCATTCTTCATCAATGGCAATGAACAAAGGGGAGGAACAGTAAAAAGTTCTTACTCTATAGCCAACAAGAGAGGCTTGTAAACAAGCATCCCTCTGCCAGGACCCTCATTGCAAAGAAATGACTCCTTGCTCTCGGATATTTGAGATCTGGGTTAAACCAAAATGTCCTCCCAGCTCTTACCCCTTATCTCCCTCTGATCCCAAGTCTCTGCCAGCATTGCTGAGACAGTGTAGTAGTTTGAAGTAACTGAAGTAGGAATCCTGGGCTATTGGTTTCAGCAGGGTAAGAGCACGGATTTGCTCAGGACATGTTCCTACTGCATAGTAGGAGCCACTTTCTGACAAAGCTGAATAGAGGGTTGGCTTTGGGACTTAACACATGCTTAAATACTTCACTGAAAGTGCGTGGAGCTGAGTGGCTAAATGCTTTGCTGAATGAAGGCTTAGGCACATGTTTCATTTCTTACTTAACTTTCTGAAAAGGAGCCACTCGGCCAAGCTTTTAATTGCTTGGTTTGAGTACATACTGGAGTGCTGCTTGGGTTCTTTCAAGAAGAATTCTTGGACATTTTCTTTGAGTAATCTCAGTCTTTTAAGTATTTTGAAGCTTTTTCTGAGTGCCTCGCTATCTTGGAAGCTGCTTTGAAGGGCTTGCAATGACCATCGGCACAGCCCTGAGGAAGAAACTCAGCTTGATAATGAGAGGATGAGTTGCTGAGAAAGGCTCTTTTCCTGTGAAAGGGCTCTCAAAGGCCTTTTGTCTATGGGACACTGGTACTCACAGGTATTTTTTGGAATTATCTGCTCATATCTGTTTCCCAGACTGCAGCAGAAGGATATATGTGCTTGCTCTGAACCAACCGGTCATGAGAGCCTCTATGTGCTCTTACTTGTTTCTATGCATCCAAAAGGTGAGGGAATAGGAACGCTCTGTTCTGAATAGCAGCAACAAGTGTTGTAGGATTTACAGTAAGACATCCCCAAGCTAGGAGAATGAACTCTGTTTCCTTATAGATTATCCTCAATGCAGGAATAAGAGATGCAAAAAAATGACCAGTTGTTTTTTGCACCTTTTCAACTAGTTCTAAAAACGTGGACTCAAATAGGAAGTATGTACCTTGTCTCTTCGGAATAGCCCTGTCACATGTCGAAGGCGTAACACTGGAGCAGTCCAGAGGTTGTGAAGGTTTCTTATCGGGGAGAAAAAAGGCTTGCACAGTTGACCTCTGTTTCAATTTGCCCTTCAAACTGGGAGTGATTAATTTAAATAAACTGTAGCTATTGTACTTGGGACTTGCACAGTGTAAGAGCCAAGAGCACATGATTACGTTCTGGCACACAGTGAATCTGGAAAAGCTTCTTGACACTTTATTAATAACAGAAGAAGGGGAAGACAAGCTCTGTGGCCATTTGGAGGCAAGGACAGGACTTTGGTTTCTGACCCTTGGGCAGAGCTTCAAGTAAAATCTAATTTTCAGTCTAATAGGTAACTGCTAATACTGTTGTTCACTAATAGGATGGAGCTGACCCAAAATGTTCAGAGAAAATTTCCCCTTGGCTGATATTTCCCATTCCCACATTTAGGATGGCTGCTAATGTAACACTGACTTAATGTTAGCAGGGAAGGAAGAGAAAACTTCAAGATGATTGGTACTTGCTGTATGTCCTGCAGCACCTGTACTGCTCATTTTAGGGTTTCTGCTGTTGTTTTTTTTCTGTGCAAAGACTATTACTGGTGCTGTTTCTGTCATTCTGTTTATCTGCTCATTTTTCAGTCTCTTCTGATAAGAAGAAGGGACAGAGGTCAGTTACATATGGTCAGTAAAGATGAGATGCAATTTGGGGAGATGTCAAGAGTTCAAAACTTGAGTACAAAACACAGTTCTTTCTCTCTGCTCGCTGCTAATTCTATTTGCCATTTCTGAAGACTTGTCTCAGTGTGAAAAACTGGAAGACTTTGACATACGTAACGCGTATTCTCTCTGTCACAATAAATTCAAGGAAAAGTTGTGTCCGGGTACGTGGCCAACATTGCTCAACCTAGTAAGAGGAGTTAATCAGTGGCTCTCCTTCCTGCTCTGAAAGGAAGCTATAGAAAGACCAAGCTTTCTCCGTCCAGCTAACCTCTCTATGTTGTTCAGCATTCTGTGCGTAACAGGACCTTTCTCTTCTTCCAGGTGGTGGAGAAAGATGTGGACCCGGAAACAACTCTGCTAACCTACCTGCGAAGAAAACGTATCCAGTGTCAGAAGAAACAGCAGAAGGCTTTAAATGCCTACAGCATTTCATAATTGTTTACTGTTCTGCCTGTCATTTGAGTGCTAGGCAGAGCTTGTGCAGAGTGTAAGAGGGAGGGCTCTGCAGGGTCTGCTGTTTCTTGCTGCCAAAGATTACAGCTGGTGTTCCAAGCTTAAACAACAGCAAATTTTAAATAATATTCTTTAAATAAACTTTAAATAATTTATTAATATTTTAAAGGGAAAACTCTCAGTATTACTGGGAATCAGAATAGGATGTAAAGAAAAAGACCATAAAATTAAAGGAAATTCAGATTTGTTCCACACAAATTGGAAAGAATTTCCTGGCCAAAATATTACAGCCACTTGAGCTGCTTGCTTTATCACCCAATAACTGGGATATTACTGGATACTTACTATCCAATAACTTGATTGTCCTGTGGCCTGTTTATCAGATGACCCAGGGATGCAAACTCAGAGGCAGAGGTTCCCACCACATACAGTGGGCATGTTACAGGAGTGGATGCAAGCAGTCACGTTTCATTCCTCTTTGAAACTGGTCAACACATGAGTCAGATGATTAGTTTCAGGAGCTGGGTAGCTATTACTGTGATGACCAGGCTGGCTGTACTAGGCCTGGTTCAGTAGGTAGTGTCTTCTGAGGTTTTGTCTGACCAGCTGGGTGTGTGCATATGCCCAACTGTTCACATCTGTGTTGGTTTATGCCTTAAAGAGAATCATGCACACTTATTTCACCACGCTGCCATGTTCTGTTTGTCTGGGATCTGAAAGAAGTACGAGAATATAAATCACACTCCTTTGGGATTTCCAGCAGAACTATCAACAGCCCTATTTTGTCTGACCATGCCTGGGGTGGATAAAGTTCAAGAGGGAAAATAAGTGGCATGACTCTGTGCCTTTGTGTACTTCCTACCACTAGACCTTTTATGTGTAAGCTTGTTAATATCTAATGCAAATAGCTCTGTAAAGAGATAACGAGAGCTCTTCAAAACCTTCTGATCTTCTACAAGAACATTCTGGTAAACTTAGGTTGTAGATGCCTGGTTATGGTCAGACAAACAGTTTGAGAAACAACTGAGGCAGATTAGCGCTGTTGCCAAGAGAAACATTAGATGGCATAGAAAAGCTGTAATTCTGCTAAAGCAGGCACATTATTGTATGTAAGTGCTTAGGGACATGATTTAGTGGTGGACTTGGCAGTGTTAGGTTTATGGTTAGACTTGATGATCTTGAAGGCCTACTCCAACCAAAATGATTCTGATTTCCATGATCCTATGAAAACAGTCAGTCCCAGAATCTTTGCAGTGAAGGCAGTGATGATTTGAGTTCCCTGAATCATGATGGTTGTTGCTTTTCTATAGGCTTAAGCTGATTATCTCAGCAAAGGCGTGTGTCCATTGCCAATGAAAACTGCTCTTCTTTTCCCATCAAAAACCTCTCAGCATTGGCCAATCCTCTTCACAATAAATAGCGGCTTCTAATTACCTTCTAGTGAGCGAAGGGACCCAAAGCAGATGGACTTAAGGAATTCTTCCCTGAAATCCCTTTGCAGGACGTTTGATGTAACGCCTGATTTTAGAGTACAGGCATCCACTTTGCAGCCTGTGGAGGAATCTGCTTAGGCCAGTGCACACACTTTGTGGGTTCCCAAGTATCTCTGCAGTGATTCTGTGCATCTCTGCTAGTCCTGGCTCTCAGTGTTTCCGGGGGTCTTACTCTGCTGGCAAGTGTGCTTAGTTGGTTTTGTGCCTAGTAATGTGGAAGCCATCATAAATGAGGCCAAGAGAGGAGCTGGGGTGGCCAGACCATGACTCTCAAGATGCAGGTAGTTTGTGAGTAGTTCAGGTGCAGTTCCTGTGTGACTCAGAGAACTGTATGACTGCTCTACCTGGTAGAGTGGTAAGGTTCCTAAGTGGTAGGAATCACCAGGTGAAGGAAGAAGTCAACCACCACTGGTAAGAGGTGCTGAAGGAGATGTCACCGTGTGTCTCAGGGACGTGGTGCATGCCTGAACAGCTCCTGAACTGCTCAGTGTTTTGCCCACAGTTGCTGACTGCTTTGTTTCCCTTATATCAGTTCCTTTTCTGAGTCTAAAGAAAAGTGGGAACTGTTGAAGTTCAGACACTTTTTTGTTTATCCTAAGAGTCTATTTGAACATGAACTGCCTCCTTATTAGGGCTTTGGGTGTTGATCTTGGAGCTCACAAGCCAGTATTTGAAACTTTGCTTATGTTGAGTTAAGTTATTAAGCATTAAAAATGAGTGTTTGGTCTCCAGCAAGAACACGTTGCTAAGCCTTGATTGACACCTCTTTGAGTAGGCTTCTGCCAACATTCTTTGTTTTCCTTGATTCCTGTTCTCTCAGTGGGCCTATGTGGAACCAAACTAGGCTGTGGAGAAGGTGGATGTGGTGCTTGCACTGTAATGATATCCAAGTATGATCCCTTTCGGAAGAAAATCCTGTATCCTTTGCAATCTAAACTCTCCAAAAGAGAAATGAAATGGGGACAGATCCAGATTCTTGACATTCCGGAAGCGTTACTGTTTTTAACAAAAGTTATATAATGGATGTTTCTGCCAAAACATAGTTTTTCACTTTCAGAACATAAACTCAAGACAAGAAGATGTTTTTTCCTACAGCATTACACAGTGCTGATAGGGAACTATTTCACTGTGCCCTGAAATACTTGTACTGACTCAAGCTTGCAGGCTATCTGTCTTTTCCCAATTCAGAATGCCTTTATGCTCCTTTCTGGCAAAGTAACATAACTCTTGGTTGTGATTACCCAAATACTGATTACTGTGATAAAATCTTTATTGCTGTTGTATTACTGCAATAATCTGGTTCCTCTATGTCAGCAGTTGCTCACTTTTTCTCTACTTCTATTGTGTCCTTCAGAATGGCTCTTATTTCCTAAGACACAAACTTCCTTCTGTTCTCTCTTTAATTGATGAGTGGAGCAATGGAATCAAACAAAACAGGGAATGGAGAGAAAGGATGAGGCAGAGTTAAAACAAGGAAATCTTGGATATATTTGGAATAATGCTTGGAGATACTTTAACTTGGGATCAACTTAATGGTTGCTTAGTGATGTGGTCTTGAATAGGATATCTTTAGGGTCCTTATTCTGTCTCGATAGAAACGAAATAAAGCAGCTAGTTATTGTAAGAATTTTGGCATATTCTATTTATAATATATTTCTATATATTACAATATTCTATCTATAATATAATATTATTATGTTCCTTCAACCTCGAATTTTTCATGATGTCTACCATCTAGAAATTGTTTTCTAGGTAAAAGGCCAAGAACTCAATGCTTTTCTGTAACTTTTTGAGTGGGACAGACCAGCTGTATAACATCTTGGTATTTGTCGACTGCCTCTATGAATTACTTGGTTTCTGTAAAGGTTAACATGCAACAAGGATGTTTCAAGTTCTAATTTCTAGGTCAAATCCTGGTGCATAGTTTAAAGTTCAAGTGAAGTTGCTGGGAACTTTGACTGGTGTAAGATTGGTTATGTAATGAATACCTGTATCACATCTATTTAAGTTCTCCTGTTGTGTCCACTGCTACAGTTTCTGAGTACTCTTCAGTCCCCCTGTCCACTTTTTCCTTTGTTGAGCAGCACTGTCAAATGAAATGACCTTAATTATTATTTTAGCCACCATACTGCCAATGCTTGCCTCTTCCCTATCTGTGCCCTGCATCATGTAGCTGTAACTACTGTTGAAGGCATAGGAAACACAAAATCCAGGCTGCACCCAGCCCAGGTAAGCTATTAATACTGGCAACTTCAAAACCCTCTATTCATGTTTACTTCTTATGTTAATGAATTCTGTTCCAAGGTGTTGGGACCTCTGTCATAATGTTAAACGTGGGAGTTTGACTTCCCACAAGTAGTCTTTACTGGCAGGAATGATTATGTGATGGAATCAAACTTCTGGGTCAGTGCTGCAGCTCTGTTACACCCTAGCAAGTTAACTGGTGCTATCCTGGCTGAACTCATAAGGCATTTGTTTTAGGGCTATGTGGCTGTGTTTGGTCTGCATCCTGGACCAAATCCCAGGAACTGGGAAGACTGATGTTATGGTGAAAGCCTATACAATGACCTGGAGCCAGGAATCTGAGTTAGGTTTTGGCTCTTCTGTGGTCTTCCATGAAAGACCTTGGTTTCTCATCCTGTGTAGTTAGGAACCTTCCCTGCAGTAGAGCAGTAAGGTTTGGTTCAGCAATGTTTCTGGAATCCCCAAATATTCTTGGTGGGGAGGAGTGACAGGAATGTGAAGCCTTGCTCTTCTAGCAAGGTGTTATAATGCACTTTTTGGGGAAGCCTCAGTTTTGTCAGGGGTACTGTTCCTTTAGGAGGAATTATGATTCATCTCCGTTTGTACAGCAGGTAGGACTTGTGCCAACATCTGAGACAGTAAACAACAAAGTGAAGAGTACGTTAGACATGCATGAGTGGATGGCAGCTAGGCTGACCTTTGTTTGCTTGTCTTCTTTTCCTTGTCTCCCCTGAAGATTCTAACAGCTAAGTTTTGAAATTCACACTCATGCCTATACAAGTAGCCCCAACTTTTCTAGCATGGTAGATCTGAAGAACTCCTGACCTCATTGGAGGTTTTAGTTGCCTTCAGTTGGGAATTCAAAGCCTCTTTTCAGAGAGTTCTCTTTTTCTGCAGTCTGCTTCACACAGTATTTGACCATCTCATCGGAGAACATCTGATGATAGTTTAGCTCCTTTGGTGAGATTGTATTGTTTTTAACAGGGGTGTTACAGGAAGAAGCACAGCAGTGAGCTTGGTATCATGACCTGATGGTTTTTGTTACTTTTTCTCAGGAGAGAATAGCAAAAAGTCATGGGTCCCAATGTGGCTTTTGCACTCCAGGCATCGTCATGTCCATGTACACGTTGCTTCGGAACAAACCTGAGCCCAAAATGGAGGACATAGAAGATGCTTTCCAAGGTAATACTCATAGCCCTGCAGAGCTGCAGCCTGTTCTGCTTTTATTACATCTGCTTCACCAAATGTGTTTCATTAAAGATAGCCAATTGTCATGAAGTTAAGAAGTAGCTTTTCCCCTAGGAGACTGGCCATAGACCGTGGAAAATCTCACAGAAGCTCATTGTTTGCCCTGAAGCAGGGGCAAGTAGCCTCAGTCTTGGATTAAGATGCCCCTAATCTCCACATCTTGTTTATTCATGGCTGTCACAAGAGCCTGCAGAGGTGGCAGCATCTGTGCCAGCCAACCTCATGTTGTAAAGGATAAAGACAGCAATATAGGTGAGGGAGTGTGGCAGAATCCAACTGTGTAAATCATCTGAGGGGCTGCTATTATTGCTGAGGTTAGAGCTCTTACCATGCTTCTGGCTCTGACCCACGAGGAAATCAGATGCAGGAGAAAGCACCCTTTCTAATTCAGGAGACTGGGTAGTTGGTATACTGACTACACTCACACAGTTGAAGTTGATGAATACTGAATAAGGCAGATTGTGTTTTTTTTTCTAATTAATTTCAATAGAAAAGGGTGGTAGGATTGTTGCAGGATTATTAATGACATTTTCCTCTTCCCAGTTCTTTCATTAACTTTACCCAGATTTGACAAGCTTTTGTGGGAACAATAGAATGTTCTAAAAGAAGAGAAGTTTTCAGCCAAATGACACTGAATCTTTGTCCTTTTGCTTTGGCAACGTAGGGAACTTGTGTCGGTGTACGGGATACAGACCAATTCTGGAAGGATACAGGACATTTGCTAAAGTAAGTGGCTTCAGATAATGTTTAAAACAAATCTGGAAGGCTGGCTGTCTTTCTGTCACTGAAATACACCTTGGGATGAAGTGGTGACAGAAGAAATGTATATACATGCCACAACAGCCCAGCTCCAACTCTTGACTGCTTTAATGTGCTTCATGCAATAATAATGCAGGAAGGCCAACTCCTTTACTCACCCCAGTTGCTGGAAATGGAGCACCAGGTGGTCCCTTTATGGATCACAGGCTATCAGACTGATTCTTTTCTGTAAGTTCTCAGTGTCCCTGCATAATGCAGCTTGCACACGATCCCTGATGTGGAAAAAGTGTAAAGGTATGGTGCATGAATAGGGACACACCGTGGGGGTATCTGAGGAGAAAGCTCCTTTCTTGGAAGATTGGCTGCAGAGCTGAAATAGCTCTGGAAAGAAGCTATAGCTCTTGCCTAGAGTTCACCTGCTGGTTTGAGTGAGGTATGAAGCTTTGCCTTAAGTTTTCTCTAGTCCCTTTGTTCCTGAAAGACTGCTGGTGTCTGTCAAGAAAAGGAGATCATTTGGTACTTCAGTGATTATCAGCCACTTATGGGGGCTACTCTGGTATTAAATATCACAAGTAAAGAATTTAGAATGCTGCCCATTGATTCCATTTTATTATCCAGAATTGCGATCAACAAAAAATACAAGCAGGAGTGAGATCCACTACAAATGGTTGATAAACCCAGTTGATATAGTCTACTTGGATTTCCAACAGCCTTTCAACAGTGTCTCACCAAAGGCTTTTAAAGACAATAAGCAGCCCTGGGGTAAGAGGAAAGATCTCTGTGTGGATGAAAGATTGGTTAAAGGCAGGAAATGGCAGGTAGGAGAAACTGGTGTGGTTTTGCGATGGAGGAAGGTCACTCATGGAGTTCTGCTGAGATCTGTGGTGTGTGTGAGGTTATTCAAGATGTCCCTAAATGCAGTGGAAAAGAGTCGTGTGAGAAATAAGTTAACGGATGTTGTGTTAGTCTGGGTAGTGAGGACAGAAACAGACTTTGAGGAATTTCAGAAGGACTTCATGAACCTGAGAGACTGGAGAATAGAATGGGATAAAAAATTCAGGGCAGATAAATGCAAAGCAATTTACAGAAAGAAGGGCAGTCCTCATTTCACATCTAATAGGATAGACTGAGCAGACACAAGGTCACCTTCCTGTTACATGCAGGGAGATGATCTTGGAGGTGTGGTAGAGTTCCCCAAAGCATCAGCTCAATGCTCACTGGCAGTCAAAGCAACACTTCAAAGGCTAGAGAACAAAAGAGAAAACACTACCATGCCTCTGTCTGCATTATGGCTCTTCCTACGCTTGAGTACTCTGTGCAGTTCTGGTCCTCTCATCTCTGACAGGGTACAGCAGAATAGGGGAACATCCAGAGAAGTGGAATAAGGATCACATCTGTGGTAATCTGGTTTTCATACAGGGAAGCAGTAGGGAGGGGGCTCTACATAGCCCATGTACTGGTTTGTGGTGATCTCTGAGAGAGATCTATAAAATCGTGACTGGCAGCTGGAACGTGGGCAGGCATCTGCTGTTTGCTGCCTCTTCCAATACAGGAGCAAAGTGTCAAGAAATGAAAGTAGTAGAAGTCAGGTTGAAACAAACAAAGGCAGATGATCTGCCATATGCCAGGTAGCTGACCTGCAGAACTCACCAAAGGGCGTTGTGAGCACCAAAAACTTGCACAGGCTTCAGGGGAGGGTGAGCATGTACTTGGACAGAGACCTGTGGAAGGTTACTAGAGAGACAGAAACTACTCTGGGTTAAGATAGTCCCCTGAGCTGAATGCAGCTGGATGCTGGTAGAGTACTAGGTGTTGTATTGTATGTGCTTGTCCCTTTTATTAGTATCTCCTCACAGCTCCTGCTAGACCAGAGATACTGTCTGAATGATCAGAGTAGTTCTAAACTAGGACAAGAGGTCTGTCAGTAGACTGGATATGACCTAGCCATCACACTGCAGGGTACTGCCTTCCACTGACAAGGGAAATGCCTACTTGCTCGGCAGCTTCCATCCCCCATTTCTGCTTTGGATATAATAAATGTGGGATCTCTCAAAAGCCAATCAAGTCTACTTCATTTCCTTGGAGTCTGCATGCGTTTCTCAGAACAGTTTTTGTCCTCACAGGACTTGGATTGTTGTGGCAGAGTGGCCAATGGCACTGGATGCTGTCGTAGTGAGAGGGAAAATAGCATGGTAAGCTGAATTTTGACAAGCCATAATTTGCAATGTAATATTAGACTTTTGATGTTTTAGTCCCCTCTGCTGTGGTGCAGATATTCAGAGCCACCTGAGCTTGTTTGAACGTCTGCTCTTGGAAAACACTGCCATTGAATATGTCCTGATTAGCATGAATAGCCATCACGACACAGGTTTTTTTACACTAGCGAGCTACACACATTCCTTCTGAATCTGGGAGGTGCAACTCTTTTGTTAAATAGCATGGTGACAACTGTAAGAATGTGTTACCAGCTTCTGGTATATTGAAGCGATACATCTTGCTGTGAAAACAGATCTAAAAACCACTTAATTCCCCAGTACAATCTTTCCCAAACTCTGCAGTCCAGTGATGAATGGAGTAATTTAATCACTGTTCCAATAAATTGTACAATTGGAAGCTTTTGGGATATCTGGAGGAAAACAATCACATTTTATGTGCCAGTTGAGGTGCAGACAATGGAGAGATGAAAACACAAATTAGGACATAAGGTAGTGCAACTATAAAATGAATTTAGGAAAGAGAGAATATAATGAAATTATTTGCCAGGAATTCCAGTGAATTCCTCTGGATTCTTTGCTAGGAAGCATTCAGTGTTGCATGAAATATTCCAGCAATTAGGACTGCTTGGAGTTCTTCTGTCAAAGTAGCTTATCAATGAAAACCATTACTACATAAAAAGGAAGGAATATGTCATGTAAAAGCTGGACTATTGTGACTTTGTGTAGAATAGCTGAAGTGTGCTTGTTGCTTCTTTAGAACGGGGGCTGCTGTGGAGGAAAAGCCAATGGTCCAGGCTGCTGCATGAACGGCAAAGAAGACAATGTGGTAAGGTGCCTTTCAACTATTAGTTTTTCCTCTATTTCTGATGTTTTGAAGTCTTAGCTCTGGCTTGTTCTGTGCCAAACCCCACTGTTTTGTATTTAGCTGTATTTATGCAAATCTTACCTCAGAAAAGGTACCTTTGTGATTTAACATGCCAATGTGAACGTGATGTCACTTCTGGTTGGCAAAAGCCGGCTAGTGTGTTCAGGGCTTGGGTTCTGGTTTCTGACTAGACATGCATTGTGATCAGAAAAATACGAACACCTGAAATGCTGGATCAGGTGATACCTTTTTGCTGTGTTTGCCATACTTTGCTCCATGAAATAGTAACAGGGATTTGACTGGGAAGAGGAACAAGTTAGTGTTGTATGCAGATAGCTTTCTTCTCTGCCACCCAGCCGTTTGCATTATCTCTGTCATAGAAAATGATGTCCTCCAGCCTGTTCAATTCTTCTGAGTTCCAGCCATTGGACCCCACACAGGAGCCAATCTTCCCACCAGAGTTAATGGTAAGTTCATTCAAAAAGAAATAGCATGTGGTTCATTGGTTTCATTGTGCTGCACAGGGTTTGAGTGTCCGCAGTGTCTCTGCCCCAAGGAAATGGTGAGCAGAAGATGGCTGCTGATAAAAGATGGATGGGCATGAATGCTTTCCTGTTGTATAAAAGAGAAGGCTTAAGCCAGTGTGACTTAAAAGATATGCAGGCCAAGTGCTTGCCCCAGCTGGCTGGCTTTCCTCACTGTTTCTCACCATACATGACTGCTCTTGGGTTGCCTTCCTTTCTGGTCACTGCCCCATGGGCAGAACAGTTGCTGACATCTAGATTTCAATTTACTAGGTCAGACGTGAACTTCTACATTAAATACAGCTGTATCTGAGCTAATGACCCTGTGTTCTCTTTATAGTGTAGGAAAAGAAGGAGGAGCTATGGGAGCTAGCTGAATATATGTTTCAACTAGATGACTTTCCAAAAGCACCAGCTTCTGCACTCGGTGTAGCAGGAATAGCAGTTGGCTAGCTCACACTGACAGGAAATGCGGGGGATTTTAACTTCCCTGATGTTTGCTGGAAGGACCACTCAGCAACCCAGCCACAGTCCAGGAGGTTCCTCCAGTGTATGGATGGTAACTTCCTCCTGCAAATGGTGGATGAGCCAACCAGGAGAGGAGCGCTGCTGGATCTCATCCTCACTAACAAGGAGGATCTGGTCGAAGCAGTAAGGGTTGAGGGCTGCCGTGGTTGCAGCGACCATGAGGTGGTGGAGTTCAGGATCTTGTGTGGTAGGACCAGTAGAATAGCAAGTAGAATTGCAACCCTGGACTTTAGCAGGGCAAACTTTGGCCTTTTCAAGCAATTGCTAGGGGAAATCCCATGGGCAAGGCTGCTTGAAGGTAAAGGGGCCCAAGATAGTTGGTTGACATTCAAGGACTGCTTTTTCCGTGCTCAAGATCGGAGCATCCCGACACGTAGGAAGTCAAGGAAGAGGGCCAAGAGACCTGCGTGGCTAAATAGGGAATTGCTGGGTATGCTCAAGTGGAAGAGGAGAGTTTACAGGTCATGGAAAGAGGGGCTGGCCACTTGGGAGGAATATAAGGCTGCTGCTAGAGGATGTAGGAAGGCAGCTAGGATGACTAAGGCTTCCTTAGAATTAAACCTGGCGAGAAGGGTCAAGGACAGCAAAAAGAGCTTTTTCAAATACATGGCAGACAAAACTAACACCAGAGGCAATGTAGGCCCACTGATGAACGGGATGGGTGCCCTGGTGACAGAAGATGCAGAGATGGCAGAGTTACTGAATGCCTTCTTTGTCTCTGTCTACTCTGCTGCAGGCAGTCCTGAAGAGCCCTGTACCCCTGAGACCTTAGATGAAGTCAGGTCAACGGAGCGGTTTGCCTTAGTCGATGAGGAATGTGTTAGAGACCAGTTGAGCAATCTGGACATCCATAAATCCATGGGTCCAGATGGGATGCACCCGCGGGTGCTGAGGGAACTGGCGGAAGTCATTGCTAGACCACTCGCCATCATCTTTACCAAGTCTTGGGAAACGGGAGAGGTGCCTGAGGACTGGAGGAAAGCAAATGTCACTCCAGTCTTCAAAAAGGGCAAGAAGGAGGACCCGGGTAACTACAGACCGGTCAGCCTCACCTCCATCCCTGGGAAAGTGATGGAACACCTTGTCCTTGGTGCCATCTTAAGGCATATCAAGGATAAGAGGGTTATGAGGGGCAGTCAACATGGCTTCACCAAGGGGAAATCATGTTTGACCAATCTCTTAGCCTTTTATGAGGAAAACACGGTGGATGGATGATGGCAGAGCAGTGGATGTGGTCTACCTTGACTTCAGCAAAGCATTTGACACAGTCTCCTGATGAAATATAACAAGGGAAAGTGTAGAGTCCTGCATCTGGGCAGGAACAACCCCAGGTTCCAGTATAGGTTGGGGAACGACCTGTTAGAGAGCAGTGTAGGGGAGAGGGACCTGGGGGTCCTAGTGGACGACAGGATGACCATGAGCCAACACTGTGCCCTTGTGGCCAAGAAGGCCAATGGCATCCTGGGGTGTATTAGAAGGGGGGTGGTTAGTAGGTCGAGAGAGGTCCTCCTTCCTCTCTACTCTGCCCTGGTGAGACCCCATCTGGAATATTGTGTCCAGTTCTGGGCCCCTCAGTTCAAGAAGGACAGGGAGCTGCTGGAGAGAGTCCAGCGCAGGGCAACCAAGATGATTAAGGGAGTGGAGCATCTCCCTTATGAGGAAAGACTGAGGGAGCTGGGTCTCTATAGTTTGGAGAAGAGGAGACTGAGGGGTGACCTTATTAGTGTCTATAAATATATAAAGGGGGAGTGTCACGAGGATGGAGCCAGGCTCTACTCAGTGGCAAACAATGATAGGACAAGGGGTAATGGGTACAAACTGGAACACAAGAGGTTCCACTTAAACTTGAGAAGAAACTTCTTCTCAGTGAGGGTGACGGAACCCTGGAACAGGCTGCCCAGGGAGGTTGTGGAGTCTCCTTCCCTGGAGACATTCAAAACTCGCCTGGACACATTCCTGTGTAACATTATCTAGGTGTTCCTGCTCCGGCAGGGGGATTGGACTAGGTGATCTTTTGAGGTCCCTTCCAATCTCTAGCATACTGTGATACTGTGAAAAGTTAGGTGAGATTAGTTTCTCTCCATGTTTTATTCCTTTCTTTTTTGGGGCAGTTTTCACCTAAGTGAATGTGTCCCAGCCAGGAATCTAGTCCAGGACATGGTGCGTTTCCAGCTTCCTTCACATTTAACAATCAACTGAAATTCAGTTGTTCTGCTGCTGCACTCAGCCTAAATGTGTCATGAGCTACAGCATGAAGAGGTTCTCATATACAGCATAATATATATTTAGCATGAGATAGGTCCCATCTGCTTCTTCTCTAAGATGTTCTCCTGCCTAAAAGTTGATTTGATGTTGCTGTGGGGCAGCCGCAGAAGTCTGTTTTCTTCAATCACTGGATGAAGGAATTAAAGGAACCAGAATCTGACTTTACAGCTGGTAGCTCAAATTCAGCAGTGCTAAGGACTGACTTTTTTTGCAGTGAGATGAGAATGGAAAACCCATTACCTCCAAGATGGCTGAAGCCACAGGCATCTGCCAGGACTTTGGTGAGATGGAGCTTACTGGCAGAGGTCTTGCTAGGGAGATGTGTCTGCAGAATGCAACTGGCAATAGCAGGAAGGAAAAACTCTTGTCAGCATGAAAAAGACTCTTGTCACTGCTAGCAGAAGGATGGGGAATAGCTATCTGCCAACAACAGTGTGGATATCACAGCTAGCCATAAGTAACTTTACTAAGATGGAGCCTGGCCCGGCATAGGCATGAGCAGCATGTGAGCAGGGATTCTTGGCTTGAGCCAAGCTCTAGCTGAATTCACTTTCTATAGGCTGAGTTCTATGTGAATTCACTTTTGCAGACTCAGAGTAACAAACAGCAGGAACAGCTGTGTTTCAGAGGCGAGCGTGTGATGTGGATCCAGCCTACAACTCTCAAGGAATTGGTGGCTCTCAAATCCCAGTACCCCAATGCCAAGCTCGTTGTGGGGAACACTGAAGTGGGTAAGAAGAAGAGCTGGTGCTCACTATGAGCATTTGGAACACTTTCCATGGAGTATTTTGTGAGAGCTGTGCAAATGTAAACCTCCTTTATGCCGTTGCTGTTAAATAGGTGTTTAATCTTCAGGTTTTATGTAAGAATAAAATTTCTTCTTGGGTAGCTTCATCTCACAGTGAATGTTTTTCCCTGTTCTTTGCTGTGTTGGGTGAGAAAGCCATGCTTATCTAGACCTCTAAGCTTATGTGCTGGGTTTGTGGAATTTTGAGAAGAGGTGAGTGGCACAGCATAAAATGTCTTTGTAAACAAATTCAGTTGTGAAACCTGTGCTTTAAAAGGTTTGGCAGTGAGTAAACTGTTAAGACTTGAAATCTTACTGTTTTTTGCCCCCCCCAAATATGTGCTTCTGCGAACATAAGTGTTGAGGAGGAGAGTGCAGACGTACTTAATAATTCTGTTATCCTGAGCAATTGGGTGACAATCCCCAAACTTTGTATTGTTCATGCATTCATTGTTCTTTCCTGAAGGATTATGTACAACAATAGCCAAGTTACACAAGTACTAAACAGTGTATTTTAGGTTATTGTAAGCCTAGAAAAGAGTCTCTAAAACTTCCCTATGAGAATTCTGGTATTAGTGGAAACCAGCTTCTCGTCTGGTATCTCTGTGACCTTATATAATCACAGATGGTCAATGAACTGACTCTTTAATAGGCTTGCTGCCATTTCATTGGGAAACAGCTCAGGCTCTCCATCATCTGTGTGTAACTGAAGGAGTCTTACTTTTCCTTAAGGTATTGAGATGAGGTTAAAGAACATGTTGTATCCGGTGATAATAGCACCAGCATGGATCTCTGAAATGAATGCTGTTCAGCACACTGAAACAGGTGAGCAACAAAGAGGCAGAATGTCTGTTAATTGAGTAGGGACTCCTTCGAATAATAAACAGGATATGAAGGAAAATCCCAAGATTAAAGACTGCTTTCTGTATGCATTAATTCCTCTCCCATGCAGGGAATCAAGTGAGTGATATGTAAAATCAGTTTGAGAATCAGAGGGCTTTTACTAGAGGGTATATTAGACACTTTATCTGTTTGATGCATCATGGTTTAGGTATATTAACTGGGTTAATAATGGATTTCAATGAGCAGTCTTTTTAATTAGACAATTAGTAGCTGGGGGAAAGGTGCTGGATTTGACCATCTAATGAACTAAGTGAAGTATTGCATTTATCTTTGTGGTGGGAACAGGTCAACCTTACAAATATTAAGAAGCAATTAGGACAATGTAGTGCATGTGGTCCAATGTTTGATAGCGTGTTTAAGTTCTGGGAACTGGAGAGGAGTTGGAGTTCACTTCTCGAAGGATAAACTAATACCTATAGGAGGGCAATATGGTTCATGATACACTGAGGCAAGAGGGTATAGTGGGTCACTGTCATATGAGAGTCAGTACCACCATGAGCTGTGATTTAAAGGTGAATTTTGTTCTGGGGATGTGATGTTTGCGTGCAGTGCATACAAAGTGTGGCTGAATGTCTTCTCTAAGCCCTGCTGTCTAATTAAACTCAGTGACATCTAAGCTTTGTAGACACAGTTATAACCATCCTCCTGTACTTTGATGTTTTGGAGAGCAACAGTTCTTTTCATTTGTTTACAGGAATCACTTTCGGTGCTGCCTGTACCCTGAGCTCAGTAGAGGAGGTGCTGAGAAAAGCAGTGGCAGAGCTTCCTCCTTACAAAACAGAGGTCTTCCAGGCTGTCCTTGAGCAGCTGAGGTGGTTTGCAGGGCCACAGATCAGGAACGTTGCTGTAAGTGACTCGGGAGCATCAGGGACTAAAATTGAGAGCTCAGTCTGAGGAGCTGGCCTGCGTCATCCAGTCTTGGTGTGCTGTGTGCTTCTCACGTGAGAACGTTTGCAAACCTAGGTAAAGAAGGTACTATGCGTAAATCAGCCCCAGGAACTGATAGCAACGTGGGTTTTGGTGCCTGTGTTCACAGGTTCAGCAAGCAAGGCAAACAGAAACGTGGCAGTTGTCCAGGTGTGTTACCAAATAAGGGGGAAACGACTGAGATTTGACTAATTTAACAAGTATGTATGTAGAGTGCTGAACAAACCTCAAAGAAGCAGCTGTGTAGATTTTTGCCAGCACAACTATGGTAGTCACAGTGTTAATGCATCAGATGTGGCAAATTTACCTCTAGTTTTAAAGGGAAGGAAGAGGTGGGTTTGATGTGTTCAGACTTCACATACTAAAAGGAAAGAAATATGAAGCAAGCAGATGAACCAGCCTACCAAACATGAAATTTTGCTCCACAAGATAGTGTGCCATTTGTATCATAGCCAAAACTTGGGTTCCTGAATATTACTGAAAAGATGCTCCATAGTTTCATGGCTCTTCCCTTAACTGCAGCTATAGTGAATTTTGGTATTGTCGGGTACATGTGGTTTGAGCATATAGTAGTTCTGATGCATTACCCAAAGAGTGTTCCTAAAACAGTCTTACCTTATCTGTCTTATCTGATGACTGCATTATAATTCTAGGCTCTTGGTGGGAACATAATGACAGCAAGCCCCATTTCTGACTTAAATCCTGTGTTAATGGCAAGTGGAAGCAAATTGACTTTGGTGTCAAGTGGTAAGTTAGTTGCATTTCCTTGTGGCACTTAGGGGAGTAGGATAGTCAACAGTTCTCTGCCATGGATTATGATGTTTGGTCAGAATTTGAAGGTGGAAATTAACATTACATTTGATCCTTGTGGATTTTGCAGATTAAGATTGAAACTGTTGTTTGGTTTGGTTTTGGGTTGTTTTTTTTTTTCCTATGAAGAAAGCCAGATGTCTTAATTTGTATTTGATCTTGTGAAGAATTTTTTTGGAATAGGATCCCTGGAATGGAGTGTCTGATCAGTGACTTTCTCTTGTGTGCTGGCTATGGAAAGGGTAAAGAGGGAATTACACCAGGTTGTTGGAAACTGGTTCAGCTGGAGGCTCAGCTATAATCAGATAAAGAAGGAGGGAGATCGATCAGTTCCTGTCTAAATAAAACTTTGTATGTAGGCAGAAGCTGTCATGGAGCCCTAAGGACCAAAGCAAATCTGGGAAAATCCTTCCTGACTTAGTGAGAGGGTGGCAAAATGAAAACTGGTATCATATCAAGAGTGATTTGTGTAGGTTGAAGGATCTTTTGGATCTTTCACACATACTATTGCTGAGCTTTATCTGAGTTATTAATCCAGCTGCCATTGATCTCTTCTTGCTCTACAGAGGGCAAAAGGACTGTCACGATGGATGAGAAGTTTTTCACTGGATACAGAAAGACAATAGTTAAGCCTGAGGAAATCCTTCTCTCGGTTGAAATACCCTATAGCAAGAAGGTAAGTTTGTAGGAAAAGACTTCAGTGTTTGTGGAGCTGAAATGCTGTTATTTGGCTGTTATTTTCAATGTGAGGCACTCTTTCACTTTGAGACTGAACTCCAAATGGTTACGTGTAGTCCCAGGTGGACCAGGAAGGAAGGAGATTATTTGGTGAAAATCTAGCAACATGCTCTTTTTGACAAGCAAGGGAAGCTGGGCTTTATCATAAAGTATGGTAAGCCCAAGAAGTTTTCTAGTGCAAGAAATATGAATTTCACTTCATTGTCTGAAGGTTTTTGAGTGCATTTAATAATGATGAAAGGTGACAAAGTGATGCTCCCAAGGAATCTGTTTGCAAAATATATAGCAAAGACGCTAGCAGTTCTGAAGTGAAGGTTCTGGAGGTTCCTGCTTCATTTCTGTGAACCGAAATGGGAAAAGAAATGTGGAAAAGTGTGTATGGATAAGAGGGAAGCTCAGTTTCTGCATCCTTGACTTGCAAGACTGAAACCGGAAGGACTGATTATTAGGGCATTTTGGCAATGTGGATTTGCAAATTCAAACGAGCCTGTGAAACTTCCTTCAAATAGAACTATGAACACTTCTGTAGCAGCATGAAGCATAATCGAAGCAGAGTACCTAGGAAGTAAACCTCCCCTTTCTTCCTTTTAGGGTTCAGAACATCAGACTGTATTTTTATGGCTGTGAAGGTATTTACCTTTTTAGGGCTTGAGGCTACAAGTTATACAGCAATTCACAGTGTAGTGTGTAGTGACCCCTCCATTCATATGACAGTCCTAGGGCAATTTCACAAGGCAAACTTTTACCAGTAGGGCAGTGGCTTCCTCCCTAGGTTATATGCAGCTCATTGATCTGAAAAACTAAACCAACTTTTGAACTCTCTGCTCCATGGTTCTTTGGCTGATCTTTGCTCATAAACATGAAATCACAGAGACTAAAGTTCTTCAGGGGACATCTGAAGGTGCTGGCATGTGGCAGGCAAAGTCTTCTGGAACTGTGGTTTCCTCACAACTGGAAGCAGGGCTGTGTCAGCAAACAGATCAATGTTTTGTTGTTGTTCATGCTTGTCTGATGTTACCTCGTGCACTGGTGTGACCTGTCACACCAAGGTAAGAGTGGCCAAACCCCAGAAATAGTAAGACTAACGAAGCTTAGCAGTTTACACATTAAGTGTCACTGTAGGGGGACTGAGCTCAGGGTAGGCTTTGTCACAGAGAGTGTGCAGTAAGAGAAGAGGCTGCTTTTTCTCTTTGAAAGCAAATTGGTTTAACGTTCAGCGTGGCAGAATGTCCTCACTAGGAGGATGCTAGTGATGCTTCTCTGCTATTACCTGCTGACTGCCCACTAATTACTTGAATTCAGGAAATGAAACACACCCTTCAGTTATATCTGCAATAACAAGCTCTCGATGCATAAAAGGGACTTCTTGTGAAACTGTTCTCCTTGACAACAACAGAGGAGTTGTTCTTTACTATAATGGAAGAACTGCTGTCCACTTCTGAGGAGAAATAATTAATGGAACAGACTGCTGAGCTGTACAGTCACTTGGCTAAGCTAGTACAGAAGAAACTTGGCAGAAAACTCTCAGGAAGGGCCATGCAAAGACATTGGATCTGATTCCTCGCTTAGTCTGTAAGATGCCTCAACAGAAATTTGTCATAACCTGCAGAACAAGCAAGGGGGAAAAACTTGACTGTGACTCCAGGATGACACCATCATTCAGTGTATACTGGCGGAGTGTTATCTCCTATTTATTGCCACTCTTCATAGGAGAACTGCTGAGTTTTATGAGTTGCTGGTGCACTTAAAAGAATTTCCTCACTCTTTGGAGACCAGCAGAACATTCAGGGTGGTTACAGAGAATTGTATGTGCAGTAGCAGATTGAAATAGTCTTTTATTAATTAGTCTGGGAAGTTTAGATTGGGTATAAGGAGGAAGTTCTTTACTGTAAGAGTGGTGAGGCACTGGAATGGGTTGCCCAAGGAAGTTGTGAATTCTCCATCCCTGGCAGTGTTCAAGGCCAGGTTGGATGAGAGCCTTGGGTGATATGGTTTAGTGTGAGGTGTCCCTGCCCATGGCAGGGGTTGGAACTGGATGATCTTAAGGTCCGTTCGATCCTTAACTATTCTATGATTCTATAACTGTGAGACATCTGTGGTCCCTGATTTCAGTTCTTGCAGAGTTCAAAGACTTCCAAAGGGAAGGGATTTAGGATCTGTGTTTTACTGATGAGGCTTCCAGCTGAGGAACTGTAAACTTGTTTATATACAAATATATGTCCCGGTTCTTCCTCTCAAGATACGTCCAGGCAGATCTCAGTCAAAGCTCATTTCCCACACAGTCCTAGGCTGGCTAGTAAGCACTGATCTAATACATCAGAATTAATTGTTGAATCATGTGAAAATATACAGCACTGCATGAACAAAAATGTCCTGCTTGGCCCTGCAAGATGAAACAACCAGATACAGTTCCCTGGAATAGCTCATCCATGTAGAGACATGAGTTAATGGCTTGTCCATATTTATACTCCAAAGCATGCCAAGGTAGAGGATAAAGGAATATTTTCCTCTCTCCTAGGGTGAATACTTCTCAGCTTTCAAGCAGGCTTCCCGTCGGGAGGATGACATTGCTATTGTGACCTGTGGGATGAGAGTCCTGTTCCAAGATGGCACTAGCCGAGTGGAGGACATAAAACTAAGCTATGGAGGAATGGCTCCAACAACTGTCCTGGCACTCAAAACCTGCCAGGAGCTTACTGGCAGGTAGGAACTTTTCTATGATAGAAAGGCTGCTTAATGGAACAGTGCTGATTTTTACAGGAGCATAACAGATACTCTAAGCGGAAAGAGGAAGAAGTGTAGCTATACTTCTGCAGCAGTCTGCGTTTTGCATGGTGCCTTGCTTCCTCCAGTGCTCCTTACCCTCAAAGATCCATGTCAGTGTCTCATTCAGAGAGCTGTTTCCATGCTAAATTCACCATCGGTTGACATGGGCAGAAGCTAGGTGTGGGCATGACCTACAAAACTGATTTTCTTCAAACTGGGCTGAGAAATCTGCACTCTTTAATAGCTTTGCCACATCTTTAGAAAAGATGATGTAAGCCCAAGATGAGAGCAAGGCTTACACATATACTATAAGCAGAGATAGAACAGATGTTGCTTGAGTGCTTGTGGGGCTGCATGTCAGAAGAGTTATTCTGCCCTGGTGATATTTAGGGCTGAGGGAGGGCTCAGTGTCACCTTTGTTCCCTTTCAGAGACTGGAATGAGAAGCTGCTGCAGGATGCCTGCCGCTTACTGGCAGGTGAGATGGATCTGTCCCCTTCTGCGCCTGGTGGGATGGTGGATTTCCGACGCACGCTCACGCTCAGCTTCTTTTTCAAGTTCTACCTGACTGTCATTCAGAAGCTGAGCAGGGACCACAATGGCACTGTGAGTGCTGCTGGGGGAAGGCAGGCTTGGGGAAGGAGGACCTGTATGTGTTGCTTGGTGGGCAGGGTTCAGATTCAAGGAGAGCTGTACCTCGTAGCAAGCTCCATGTTGCAGCAGATGCTGGAGTTACTCCTCACCTGCATGGCAATGATTAGTGCATCTTCCCACTTGCTTCCTCGTGGCATCCCCACTTTGCTGTGGAAGGATGGTGTTCTTGTTATATTACAACTGCTGTGGGTCTGTGGCTATTCATTGCACAGAGCCTGAGTCCTGTTTGCGTTTTACCCAGTAAAAGATGAATTATCTTCACTGGAAGATGGAAAATGGAGAATATCCTGGGCTACTGGGGAACATGAGAAAGGGACTGGCAGGGAAGATGATTGTTTTTTAATGTCTCTGGCAGAACAAACTGTGTGAGCCTGTCCCCTCAAGCTACGTCAGTGCTACAGAGCTGTTTCACAAAGATCCAATTGCAAATGCCCAGCTCTTCCAAGTAAGTAGCAATACTTGCATGGTGTAGACCTGGGTTTTTCTGTAGCTCAAACTGTGCTTCTTATCTTGTCTCCCTGAGCATGGGCAATATGTGAACTCATGTAATGCCATTTCTGAGGCTTGTATTGGGATCTCAGTCCCTTCTTTGCTTTAGTATACGATGTTCTTTCCTCTCATTGCCTGTGACTGTTCTTGGCCTGTACAGCTTCATAGAAATGCCGTGGCTAGCAATGTCCTCCTGTAGCCAGCTCCATATCCAGACTGATATTTCCCTTCTGCTTTCCCCATTTACAGCTGCTTTTCTTTGCATATCTCAGGCTTCAGATACAGGATGTGTCTTCTTCCTTGTTTCTCCATTAATGACCCATTCACTTCAGCATTGAGAGCAGAAGCTAGCTTCCAAACTTGAACCTTTAATGCAAGCTGTAACATCAGACCCTTCTTTTCCATGGTGGTTTCCAGAACCAAATCCCTTTCACTTCGTTCTCTACAGCTCCTTCTGTGTAGCCACTTGGTCTTGTTTACCTTCCTTTCTGACAGGCAGAAGCCCTCATCCCATTCCCCATCTCACCGGAATGTCTCATGGTGCTTTTTGCTCTTCCTTCAATGCTTCTGCATCTGCAGTCTAAGCAGTAGTAGTCAGCTGTGTGTTTTACTCCAGGAAGTGCCCCGAGGGCAGGCAGTTGAAGATATGGTGGGCCGGCCTTTGATGCACGTTTCAGCAGCCAAACAAGCATGTGGAGAAGCTGTTTACTGCGATGACATCCCTCACTATGAGAACGAGCTGTATCTAACGCTGGTGACCAGCACCAAAGCCCACGCTAAGATCCTGTAAGTGTTGCTTTTGAGTTTCAGATGTCGGAAGCATCCAGTGCCTGGTGGTTTAGAAAACACTGACCTGTCAAGCTGTGGGTGAAGGAAATGTTTTTGCAGTAGGGGGAACTCCAGTTCATTGCACGTCGTCACGTGGAGGTGAGCTGTATGTGTTACAGCTGCCTTGCAAGTCCTATTCAGTGAGAATATGAGGGAATTAACACCGAGCTCAAAGCTTTGCTGAAGCACAAAGCCCTCAGCAATAGGCAACCTCCTTGCATGTTGCATCTCTTGTACTCCAGCATGAAGGATTAGAAAGGAGGAGGGTAGGAGAGCACCACAATGAGCCATTTTATCACTAACGAGAGCGTGCAGCTTAAACATGCTTTTCCACATCTGCCTAAAAATTTAGGTTGTAACATGCAAATCTACCACAGTACTCCTGCTGATGAGTCTTCTGCACAGTGCTTGCTTACACTGGCTATGATCAAGCTGTCTGCGTAACAGCCCTGTGTGTGTTAATTTCAGCTATTAGATGGAGATATGTAGCAAGGTGGATAGGTCAGTGCTTGGAATGTAGATTACTCTGAAAATATCTTGTCCATGCAGGGCATGACTGATGCATAATTTGTAACAATAGTGACTAACCAACTCTAAAATATCTATGCTGGCAGGTAATGCCATCTGCATTCTCATATGAGCTTTAATGCTGCTTTATTGTGGGACTCGCTGCCCCCCACAATCCCTAATTATGTTGGTTCTGTGGGCTCTTGTCTGCCTTCAACTACTGTGATGTGGGATGCTCTGTGTTATATTGCCTCATGTCATCCTCAATAGCTTTGTGATGTGCTGCTCATTCCTTAGGCAATACTTCCTGCCTATTTAGGCTTCCTGTCCAGAGGTTTCCCACAGTGGTCTAACACAGGATGGGCAGTATGGTGGTCATGGATGCACAGATGTACTAGTCAGCTTTTGGGTTATGAAATTGCTCTGTCATCCATGTTACATCTTAGGTGTTGCAAAGCAGTCACTGATGAGTGCTACAAATGCATAAACACTGTTACTACTACCAGTGCAGACGGGGCAATAGAGAAAGCATCAGATCTATGCCTGTGACCACAACATGCACTATTTTCTAATTACACCTTCTCTTGCATTTCTGTTGCACGTTGATCTTTCGAGCTGTGAGCCTGTGTGGTTCTATAGAGGAAGAAGTAGCATATTTCATCGGGTGACAGAATTACCTCAGCCTATGGTTTTGGGGGTCTGAAAACTTCCACTTCACCCGAGTCAGGTTGTGACTACCAAGTGTAAATTCAAAATCGTCTGCCTCTGTATTTCCAACTAAGGGAAGCTGTCAGGGGATTGTTTCTGAGGCATTCCCATGCAGAAGCACGGGAAAGTGAACTTTCCAAAGAAATATAGCGCTGTCTTCAGTTCCTGCTGTCAGAGTTCATGTGGGAAAGTTCATTCATACATTTAATGTCTCCTTAAAGAAGTCTGTCACTCACTGGGATGCATAAACAGCTACTTCCAGGCACAGTTTGTATTGGAGTTTCAGGAATCTAAACAGGCATGCTGAAAAAATGGCAGCAATTTACAGAGGACAATAAATCATTCAGTTAAGCAGCAACAAAACCACAGCTTTTCTATTCACACCAGGTCCCTTGTAAAGCAAGCCAATTACGCAGCCAGTGTGCAAAATACTGCGGAAGGAGCTTGAAAGTCTTTTGTAATAGATTTTTTTTATGTGCTTCGTATAAAAACTGAATTATATTGCACTTTTCTAGTTACTTTCTATCCTTCTTGTCACTTAGTTTTAAATCTGTATATGATTGAAGCAGACAAGCGTTTTGGTTAGCTACCTCTTTTGCAGATTACCAGGAGAAGCCTTTCATGAAGCTTTTTGCTTTTGGAGCATCATTTCTTTTGCATCCTTTTAAATGCCCTTCAGCTTCCTTGTGATTGACACTCAATAACTTCTTCCTGACTTACAGGCACATTTTTATCTAGAGGTGAACCCACGGTAGATGATAGATGTCTGCAGTAAGAATTCATGTTTATCAAATAGGGAGGAATTTTGTCTTCACAGAATCATGGCAGCTGAGAAGACAGTGGATACAAACCATCACTGACACCAGTCTGTCTTTGGCAAAGGATGTCAAGGGATCTGTACATGTGGCAACTGGGTCAAATTCAGATATGTTTTAGGGAAAAAGATGTATGATATAGTATCATCCAATGCAGCAGACTGATGATAAAGCTCAGTTGGGATTCAAATTATCATATAGATTGCATAAGTTTTTGGTCTAACACATCCTTTCTACCTTGGTTCACATGATATTCATGTAACAAATTCCTTTTCTTTTTCATAGCCAGAGAATAAGGCCTGAAAATGTATTGGTATCTCATGAATGCTGACAAAGAGGAAAAATGAGAAACAATAACGCTGCCTCTCCTCCTTTCTTTCTGTCTTCAGTTCTGTAGATGCATCTGAAGCCCAGAGTGTTCCTGGGTTTGTGTGTTTTGTCTCCGCCAAAGACGTTCCTGGCAGTAACATCACTGGCATCGCTAATGATGAGACTGTCTTTGCTGAGGATGTGGTATGTGGTTAAGAATAGCTTTTCTCAATCACACTGCCCAGGAGATAAGGTTTCTCGTATTTCCAGTGAAGCCCTCTTCTTTATACAGAGATAAAACCTAACTATTGGATCAATCTTGGTGCCCAGTTCAATAAGGCCTTGGTCCTGTTGTTCTGTGCCCCTCTCTCTGTTATCATAGAATCACAGAATGGTTTGGGTTGGAAGGCACCTTAAAGACCATCTAGGGACAACTTCCACCACACCAGATTGCTCAAAACCCTGTCCAACCTGGCCTTGAACATTGCCAGGGATGGGGCACCCTGTGCCAGTGCCACACCACCCTCACACTGAAGAATTTCTTCCTAATGTCCAATCTAAATCCCCTCTGTCAGGTTAAAGCCATTCCCCTTGTCCTATCACTACATGCCCTTGTAAAAAGTCCACCTCCAGATTTCCTGTAGGCCCCATTTAGGTACTGGAAGACTGTTACAGGGTCTCCATGGAGCTTTCTCTGCGCTGTTGTCCTTTTGGCTGCAGGCCACTGGGATAGGCTCACTCACTCTGTTACTGTCCAAAGTTGTTTGTGATCATTTTCCCTTGGCTGGTTTTAAACAAACTGGTCTGAACAAGCAGCTGCAAAAACTGCACAAAAGGAATAGATGGAGATAATTATCAGGAGCCTCTCCATTACTGCACGTAGACACCAAATGATGGTGGGTCCTAATCTTGCCTGTAGGTCACTTGTGTTGGTCATATCATTGGTGCAGTCCTTGCAGACACACAAGAACATTCCAGAAGAGCAGCTAAAGCTGTGAAGATTAAGTATGAAGAGCTCAAACCTATTGTCACAATTCAGGTAAGATGGCCCAGATCTGGTTCTGCAGTTAGCTTGAGGCCCCCTGATCTCTTGTTAACTTCTACTCTCACTCATGGTTATTAAACCATGCGTTTTGTTAGTCTTTGTGGGTGCAGCAGGATATGGAGAGAGGGGATAATATGCATATTTAAATATAAAGAGGACATGCCTATAATATAGTACTGATTGGGAGTATGTTAACTTGTTGTGCGTTATTTGAAGCTAAAAGAAATTGTATCATGCTCAGCAAAGATTTGTTGAAACTAACTAGGGTCCTATCAGTTACATTCTTCCCAATGTGTTTGCTTTCAATATTCTCTGGTCTGACCCTGCTGGCTTCATTGGTATTCATTTATTCTTCATTCTGATTTATAACACTCAATAATGGGGTGTGGAAACGTTTTCTTCTAGCTCTGTCACTGTACTGCTTCTCTGGGATTTCTGCAGACCACTTGTCTGCTTTCTAAGCTGATGAAATCAGTTTTCAGCAGGAGTTCAGTCTTCACTGTGAACATTTCCGCTGACTGTATGGACACAACCCTGAGCTGGCTTTTCTCAAAGCTGAAGAAGATAATGTCAACAATTTGCCATCGTTTCATGCCTTTTTTTTAACTGGAAAGCTTGTTGACAAGATTTGCTTATGTGACAGTAAAAGCAAAGGGTATCTAATACAGCATTCAAATCCAGACATGAGAAGGAAATGCCTGAAGCCGTTCTTATGGGGGGAGAAATCAGAGCCATGGGATTCTAATTAATTCTGTAATGGTCAGTATGGTCATACCTTGCATTTTGTAATGCGAATTGTATTCATGCAAATACAAAGAGTCTGTGCATTGTCTAGTGCAGATGCTGGTGCTGTCATCTGTGGACAGAGCTTTTGGTTTATATGATTTGTGGGTTCACAGACAACATGTGCGCACTTTTCTGAGGCTTCTAGCTGTTTATTCAACCAGGGGAGATGGAATAGAGCCAAAAATGTGCTGATTTTTGTCGTCGTTTGGGCATTCTGAGGATTTTGTTTTCCACTCTGGAAAGCTTCAGCGAAGGTGAAATGTGTTTATAGAACTTCCCCAGGAAGGATTATTGTAGATGAGCTCAGAAGTGAACTATTTCTGCAGAAGTTCTCATCCTGTCGGAGAGGTTTTAGTTTTCTCCTCTCTCATTGTTTGTTTCCTTTTCCTTTTCCCCCTGTTCTTGTCCATGGGCTGTTCTTAGGTTGTAAGTCATAGCTCTGGTGGCTACAGACCTTGGGATTCTGGGCCGGTGATGTAAAATGAGTCACAAGGAGCAATCTGAGACTGTCCAGTTCTGGTGTTTATTGTGAAATTGCTGAGTTGCCAAAAACTATTACGTGCTGCTTTAAGTCAAGTCACTTAGCTTTTACCATAGTGAGTGTCTGATGAGTTACTGCGCTTTTTATCTTGGGTATTTATTCTCCAATCAGAGGAAGTTTTGTTTTCACTCAAAAATTTCATTGTGTCGTTACGTTTCCTAGGAAGCTATTGAGAAACAATCCTTCCTTAAGGGTATAAAGAGGATTAAAAAGGGAGACGTGAAGAAAGGATTTGAAGAATCTGATCACATTTTGGAAGGTGAGAATAAGCATCAACGTTTCTATTAAAATAGGGTAATTTTTGACAAAAGAGGGGAAGCATCATGCTTGGTTTTATGCACATGATACTGGACTCATGAAAGTAAGGCTTGCGGGGCTAAATGTCATATTCAGTTTCAGATGAATGTTTATACACAAATAGCTTGTGAAAGATGTAATTTCAGTTTCCAACAAACTTTGGTGCTTCCAGCTGTGCCCCTGCAAACGCTCTCTTCCAATGTAAGGACACATCTTCTTAAGCAAATATTCTGCAAAGTGAGGTTTTTTTCCCCTCCCTGAAACTTATTCATGTAGGAGCTTTTCCCTGTCCAGGCATAGTGTGGTCTAAATCTTATAGATAGTTTCCTATAATCTGGTACCACTCTATGTTACGAATATGTGTCATGAATGAATGTTATGAATACATTGTCTGCAATGTTATGAATGTTATGAATACATTCTGTGTTATGAATACTGTGCCTGAAACCTGATCCACCGATGTTGGTGGCTGTAGGAATCGTGAAGAACCTGGCACTGCCCTGTAATGCTTTCTCGATGTTGATGGTTGGCCTGTCTTAGAGGATGGGGGGGGATTTGATGTACTTCTTGGTTTCATTCCGTTGGAGTCTGCCAGGTTGTAGGGACATGGGTAAACGCAGCAGTTACCAACAGCTGTTGAAACCCTCTGAGAGTTGGGAAGGGAGAGTGCCAGAGCTGTGGTCTGGAATACTCTGTCAGACCCCTGCCATTGCTTGGTGTATATACCACTGAGCAATAGCTCCTGGGAGGAAGACCTTTACAGAACTGTGTATTTATCAATAAGAAGGTGATGTATCCCTCTTACAGATGCAAGAAGGAAGTTACATCAGTTACAGACACAAAGCCTGGTGTGAAGGGAGTATTCTTGAAGATCATGGAGAAGCATGCCCCCTTACCTCCACGTGGAGGAAAGGAGAGTTATTTAACTGAAACACTAATTTCCAGCTCTACCATTTGTTGTATGCATTGCTGAGAGCTTCCTCTGCAATCAGCAATTGGTGCTGGCACTTGAAAGGTGTCATAAGCTATTGTTAACTGTTTCTTATCGTGTACTATGCTGTGCAAAATGAAAACACTGTGCCAAGCAAGGCAGAAACTGTTCTGAGCTAGAAGAATAGGTTATTTAAAAGGCTGCAATACTGTGGGAATGCCAGGCCAACCCCCTCGAGGAGACAAGGGAAGGGACCCTGCTGTGTACCAGAGTAGGCGTTGTCTCACACAAATGTGCATTTCTCACTGATGTACCTAATGAAGGCAGCTATTTTGTTGCTGCTGAATTAAATAAAAGGGAGAGAGGAACAGGACTTTGAGAACTGTGCTGAATATTAATTTTCATGGCAGCTGAATAGATCAGGGTCATGGCTGAGAAAGGAGGCTGATTCTGACATGTATAGCGCGTAACATGACTGGAAGTTGTACCCTCAGCACTGCCAGGTAAAATGTCCTGGGGAAGAGCCACATGCAATGACAGAGTTAATTCTCAGTTAGATCATCTTAAGGCATTTTGGACTTCTATTTTTGTTCCCCTGTTTCAAAGTCTGTAACCTTGGATTTGACCTGCTCAGCTAGTTGATTTATTTTTATCCGTCACCTCGGAGGTGTTATCAGGGCAGTCTGAAAGGCACCAAACCCTGCATCTTAAGGGTCAATGGCATAGTGTGCAGGCTTATTCTTGAAATGCCAGTCACTTGGTTTGAACTAAAGATGTCTAGAAAGTGTGCATCTGTGGGGTCTTGTTGGGTTTCTGGTTTTTAACTTTTTGGGATTTTTTAATGTCAAATCAGAAGTTTCAGTTTTAGGGTTTGGGATATCCAGTCTGTGCAGTGCAAAGGGTTGCTGTGTCTAAAGGGCAGTAGCCTGCAGGCAGCACACGATGGGAGACACCTTATAACACCAGAGACACCCTACCTTTGGGGCATTTCTTTCCGTTTTCTAGGAGAGATGTACCTTGGTGGGCAGGAGCATTTCTATCTGGAAACTCATGCCACTCTGGCTGTGCCAAAGGGGGAGGATGGTGAGATGGAACTCTTTGTGTCAACCCAAAACCTTATGAAGACACAGGTACTGTCTCATTGACCTGCTACCTAAAAGGCATTTGTTTCTCAATTTTGGACTAGATAAATGGTTTTTACAGTTGATCCTATGTTGTCTTGAATAAAATAAACCACATATGCGTAGAGTTGGGTATGGGATCTGAAGTCCATATCCATCCTACTGGTGTCCTGAACCTGCTTGCAGGTGGCAGGTATGTTTCTGTTGGCAGCACATCTTTGTCACCAGGGGTTAATGCTTAACCCTTTCTAGAGAGGGTGACAGCTGGTCAGTAGGCATGGCTGTTGAATGTTATGTCGGGAAGAGAGGTGGTATAAATGCTGGCTATATATGTACCAGCTTTACCGTATGGCACTATGGGGTGGCTTTGACCTGTCTCCTGACTCACCAAGGCTGACCAAAGGTTTCATAATAGAGTGAGGAGAATGGGCAGAGTGGTTTGGTCATCAAAACCTGTCCTGTATGAGACCTTTGTCTTGGTAGCCTCATCTCATGTTAATCTCTTCCTGAATGCTGAAGCACTGTGTGCCTGCCCACGTCAGGGATGAAATACTGGGCTTATTGGTTCCAATTGCATCAAATCCAATTGCAGGACCAATAGGACCTGCAGCGCAACAGAGTATTTGCACTGTTGCAATGGCTGTAGAAAGGCAATGTGTTAATATCTAGCTCCTAACACCAGCTCAGCTCCGTACATGTTCTGCTGTTCTGTCGTTCTTTAGGAGTTTGCTGCTAATGCACTGGGAGTCCCTTCAAATCGGATTGTGGTGCGAGTGAAAAGAATGGGAGGAGGATTTGGAGGAAAAGAGACTAGGAATACTATTTTGACCACTGCAGTGGCTGTTGCAGCCTTCAAGTAAGTTTGGATGTGGGGAACAGGGCTTTTTCCTTTCAGACTGTGCCAGCCTGCTTCTTTCTGGAGCATTATTTACACTGGAGCATATACAGATTCTTCATGTCTTGTTACTCTACAGTTTATAGCAAGCCTAGGGCTTCCCAAAGGAAGTGTCTAATGGGCTCTTAGCTGGTAGGAGTAATTGAGCCCGCTCAGAGGGGTGAAGCTTATGTGGGAATATCAGCTTTTAATAGGAGAGGGGGGAAAAACCCTTACTCTGATATTCTTTTGGAGCAATCTGAAAACTCTCACATCTCGAATTATCTGCCTCTCCACCCCAAACCCTTTCGAAATCCAACACTAGCCATGCTTATTGTTTTGTCTAACAGCAGTTTGAGAGTCTCTTCCTTGCTTAAAACTCTACTACGCCAGCCTTGCACTGCTGTTTCCGTGCTCTTCTGTAAACTCTCTCTTTGGATTTTTCCCTAGGAAGGGTGGCCACTGGATAGAAATCCATACTTTTCAAGCCCCGTAAAGCTCAGGGAATGAACCTAGACTCTACTCATTTGTGAAAGTAGACTGGAAATGTGCTTTTGATTTCTGGAGTCTCGATATTTGCACACGCTGCAAGTTTCTGTGGCTGTGATTGAACATGGCCTTCCCAGCACTGCCCTTGTAGGTGAGGATGCGCCCTGCTGGCAATGCTAGATGGATCTTGCGACACAGCAGCAACTTAATAAAACACCCTTAGAGGAAAACAGCCAAAAGGCAGCTCCTGTAGTTAAATAACTTTATTTTCCTATTCTGAGCAAACCACCTGCTTTCTCTGATTAATCAGTAATACATGTGATTTTTTTTCTTTCCTTTATTTCTGTGAGCCGAAACCACTGTTTTGTATCCCGGAGGTTATGAAATAACATCTATGGCATTCCTTAGGTATTTTTACAACCTGAAGATAGGCACTGGAAAGGCAGAATTGTCAGAAAATGCAGAGCAACTTCTCTTCTCTTAGCATTATTATGTAGTTCATATGGCATTCTCTCTTGCAAGGCCAAGAGAATGCCTTAAGAAACACTCTGGAAAACAGTGATTGCTCAATTACGAGTATCTGTCTCTGTAAGAAACTATCCTTTTTAGTATAAAAGTCTCTGCAAGAGTTTTCATGAACAGGTCCCAACCTCTAAGATTTTTTTTGGTTGGTAGGTTTTTTTTTTACCCAATTGTGCCATTTTCTGAAAAGGAAGATCTGTGAACCAAGCAGTTAACCCTTAACCCCCCATTGCTGCTCTGGAAGGACAATGCTCACCAAAAAGAAGAGAGTCTTGCTCTGTAGGAGCTGTATTGTGTGTTTCAGGCTTTGCCTGATAAATGTGTTCTTTAACAGAACTGGCCGCCCAGTACGGTGCATGCTGGATCGAGACGAGGACATGCTGATAAGTGGTGGGAGACATCCCTTCCTGGGGAGGTACAAGGTATGCATACATATGAAATGAGTGCATGGTGTCTCAGTGTTATCACCTGAAACATCAGAGAGTAGTAAGATACTGTGGGGCAAAAAGTGCTGCTCTGGCTGTTTCACTGCTGATGTCCCTGCTGCAAATGGATCAGGTCAGCTGGGTTATAGCATTTTCCCTCTTGAAGTCCTCCAGATGTTCTTGTGGTTTGGATTGTTCACTACTTGTGATCTCAGCATCAACATTCCCCTCTTCCTTGCAACCAAGACTTTGCCCCTGTTGACAGTCACACTGCTCTTAGATGCTTCCCCATTTGTTTAGGGTATGGTACTACTGTTTGTTTCGTTAACGTCCTTTCCTCTTCAATCCCCATCCAACTGCTTTTCAAAGCAAAAAAGCAAAGAGCTGGTAAGGAAGGTGTGGCTGTGACAAGTGGTTACCACATGTTTTAGATGAGTTCTCTGGATCGAGATTAAGATGCATAAGTGGCCCCTTTACTGGGAAGCTTCCTCAGTAGCTGCCTGTGCTGCAGCAGAGGACAGTCAGCCTTTTGGCCATGTAATGTCCATTCATTCGGTTTGTGGAGGGAAACACAAAACAGAACATCATGTAGAAAGCCAGTTACTGAGGAGACTCTCTTGACAGGTTGGCTTCATGAAGAATGGGAAAGTCAAGAGTCTAGAGGTTTCATACTACAGCAATGGGGGCAACTCTGTAGACCTCTCTTATGGGGTAAGTAAAACTTTCTGGTGGCTTCAGAGAGTTATTGCCTGCAGCACTGCTTGCCCATCCTGCTCCCTGACATGACTGAAAGCAGTCCTTGATTGGTTTTTGCAGCTTCTACACCAGCTCTTTGAGTCAACTAACCTGCCTTGGCATGTGCCACATAATACTTATTGAAGCTGAAATGACTTGGATAAGGCAAAAGGGTCAAGAAAGTTTGCTTTGCATTACAGAGGGCTATGGTGAGAAACTTGTTGCTCAACACAAGATGACTGATAGTTCCTCAGCTTTGGGGAAAACTTGTTCTTTGGAATAAGAAACATCCAAGCCAACAGGCTGCTCTGGGCAGAGTGCCTGAATCAACAAACTTGTTAAGGACGGGCTAAAACTGACACTGGCTTCGCAAGCACTAAGGACAAGAATGAGGCTCAGTTCTGAGTTTGTCTTTAAGATTTTTTTCTGCTGATGAGTAAAGAAACCTCTCCTTTTTTTTGTCACGTGAGTGACCAACCTGCTAACCTAGTGTTAGTCATGTTTATTTTAGCTCCCTTTCTCCCTTTCTGGTTCTTCGGGGCGGGTAATGGTATTTAGTAGCAGTTTGGCTCAGCACAAGACCAGGACCGACAAAGGAATGTGAAGGTCAATCTGTCAACAACAGAGAAAGGTGTTTATTGTCCTGTCCTTCAGGAGGATGCCACTTGCCACTCCATTGCAAATGGGACAGAGTACGGCTTGCCCCGCAGTGCTCATCCAGCTGTGCTGAGTGGAACTGCAGGGTGGAAGAGAAAGAACCAGTGGCTCTACATTAGCTTCAGAGCTTTCCAGCCGGGCTTTGACAGCTGGTGAGAAGTCTGACATGTGAGCCATGTAATGTGTCCACCCACATTCCTTCTCTTTACCAGGTTATGGACAGAGCCCTGTTACATTTGGATAACTCCTACAACATCCCCAATGTCAGCAGCGTGGGCATTGTTTGCAAGACCAACTTGGCTTCCAACACAGCCTTCCGTGGCTTTGGAGGGCCTCAAGGAATGATGATCGCTGAGTGCTGGATGAGTGACCTTGCTCGGAAGTGTGGCCTGCCACCTGAGGAGGTACAGACCCACTGACACATTTCATGGTGATGCTGCTTTTGAGCAAGCTCTGAGAATGGACAAACCACAGAAGTTTATTGAGCATAAGAGTTTTCACTTCATTTTTGCTAAGCACTTAGCAGAGTCTCAGATTTTCTGTGTGACAGCCACGTTATATCATGGATTATCTTCTACTTCATTGAATCCCCTCAGCAGCCTCAGTTGTGGAACACCTGCTTTAGGGAAGATGTATTTCAGGAAGTCCAAAGGCACTAGGTACTTTAATCTTACTAGCAATGTGCTTAAGTCCCAGTCTCTCTTGAAAATTTCCAGCCTTAATGTCTTAGTCCCCATTTCCCCATAAACAGATATATGTCTGTTAATTCTATTGTACCATAGAGTGAGCAGAGGAGTAAAAATTGGAACTAACATGCTTTTGATATCTTCCATTAGAAAGACCTAATCTGGAGCATTAAACTTGACATGTCCTTTACGTGTCTCTTTGGGAAGGTGCGGAAGCTCAATCTTTACAATGAAGGAGACCTGACTCATTTTAACCAAAAGCTGGAGGGATTTACTCTGCGAAGGTGCTGGGATGAATGTTTGTCAAGCTCTAGCTATCATGCCAGGAAGAAACTAATTGAAGAATTCAACAAGTAGGTGTTCTGGAGTTGTCTTGTTACCTGCTGCCTATCATCTACTGAAGTTCTCTTAGCAACTTGAGTCATACAAAGTCAGACCTTATATTTGTAGAGTGACTTGAAAAACGTTTCTTTCTGAAACTCCTTTATGCTCACTACGGAAAAACCTTCCTAAGCTTGTAGCTTAAATAAGGCAGGATTTGACCTACCATGACCTGATTTTGTAAGTGAAATGTAGCAAAGGAGAGAGGGTCTGGTAAGTCCAGCCAGGTTTTTCAAATGGCTATTAAGTCATTTTGTTTAGGTTTTCCGCTGCCTTCCAGTCTCTTTTAGTTGGCAGTTTAGTTAACTGAACAGTTAACAGTCCAGGCAATTGCTTCTATAGAGCCTGGGGGAGCACCTTCAGTTTGGATTTCTTCTTGCTAGGACCTATAAACCAAGCCAATCTTTCATAAAAATTACTGATTAACTCAGTCTATATTGCATTCAGGTGCTTTATTTCTGCTTCGATACCTAAGCTGTCAGAGGGAACCATAGTATTGAGTTGCAATGAAAGCCCTCATGAGTATACAAATAACATTCTTTCCCTTCAGGCAGAATCGCTGGAAGAAGAGAGGGATGTGCATCATTCCTACCAAATTTGGCATCAGTTTCACTATCCCATTTCTGAACCAGGTCTGTAAGTGTCATCCATCTTTTCAGTAGAGAAGCTAGATTTACACTGCCTCCCCCAGGCCCTCCTTCATTTGTACCAAACTGGAGCTTTTCAGAGTAGTAGTCAATTAGTCAAGAAAGAGCACATGTTTTGCAAAATAAAGTGAGCAACACAACAGTTACCAGTTTATGCTGTCCAAAAGACACCACGGTGCAGCTATGTTTCCATGGTATTGTGTTATTTCCCCTACCTATTCTCTCTTCCTCAATAGTCAACACTGTTTCTGTTGTTTGACCCGACTTGACAGACTCTCAGTGGTGTTAGCAAGCTCAGGTGAAGGGTGCATCTCTGTTTCACAGGGGCAGGTTTGGGTTACTTCACCTGTTTTCTAAGCTGAAAATACTGACTGAAGTTTGTTGTGTCACTGGAACTGCTAGTGAGTTGATGAGACTAACCCAAACTCACCTCAAGTGCAAACTGGTGGCTTTAATTACACCAAAGAACAATATTGGTCTAGTTCCAAATCAATTCTCTCTGTAGTTTGTAACTGAAATCCTGCTAAGTATTTCACTAGTTCATTTATGATGACTCTTGGATTACTGTTCCCTTTATAGGCTGGAGCTCTAGTCCATGTGTATACAGATGGCTCTGTGTTACTTACACATGGGGGTACTGAGATGGGTCAAGGACTTCACACCAAAATGATTCAGGTAATAATGAGTTTGGGCTTAACCAAATGAGACATCTTTTTAGGGAGACATACACTCAGTCTACAGTATTGCCTCAGACAGTTTGCTGCTTCCTCTATGTGCATGTGGAGGGTAGCAAATCATGACTAATTTATCTTCATTGTTTCAGCAGCAGTGCTAGATTTCCAGATTATTATCACAGTTGAGTGTGAGAATTAGGTTCTTTATCATCTGAACTGTTTATTATGTAGATAATGCAGGTTATGCTTACAATCTAGCTTCTCTAGCAATTTCATTTCCCATAAAACTAGAGTTTACATGTGTTTTATGCGAAAATTAGTTGTATTGCAAACATACTTATCTGCACATGCTAATGCCTTTGTAGCTAAAAAGACCTAAGGGAGTGATACTGCTTTGGCAGGGAAGTTAAAGGGGAATCTAATAGGGCTCTTTATCCTCTGATTCTTATAACCATTGAGAGAAGCATTTAGTCTCACAGTAGTGAATTGAATGTCTTTCATTGTGGCAAACGTGTATATGGTCACACACATTCAGTCCGTGAAGGACAAACTTAATGTTCTGGCTAGTGCTCAGTCACCAAATGAACTGAGGCTTCAAGGAAAATGAGATTTAGGACAGGAGAAGGTAGAGGTCGCAGTGCTAGCAGTGTAAGCAATGAATGATGATGCTCATGTATAGGAACTGCTGCTTACCCACTGTTTATTTTTCCTCTGCAGGTTGCTAGCAGATCACTGGGAATCCCCACCTCCAAAATTTACATCAGTGAGACCAGCACAAACACTGTCCCAAATACCTCCCCGACAGCTGCATCTGTCAGTGCAGACATCAATGGGATGGCCGTCCATGTATGGAAACTGAGTTACTTGAACTAGTGGGTTATAAGCTAGGACTTCAGAACATGGAAGTTTGATGTGTGTTTATCTGTTGCTTAAGGAAAGCATAAACATTAAAAGGCAATTCCAGCCTAAGGATACCTCATAACTTCTTTACCTGCTACAACTACCAGCACTCTTAGATGATGAATGACTGTATTTTTTCAAGTTATTCAAAACTCTCCTTCAGTCCTTTTATAGTTCTAAAATGGAGTATTTATGATTTCTCAAAATGAGCAGAACAAACCATCCATTTAAATAGCTGGCTTCCTAGTAATTAATGCAGCCTTATCCTTAACAAATACATTGTGCTGCACATCTTGGTAGCAGCTGGTTTGCGGGCTGTGCTTCAGAATCAAAGACCTGTAAATGTTGATACACTCAGAGCAAACATCCTTCTGTAGCAATGGCGTGGTCATGATTGTCTGTGACATGGTGGAGTTACCAATGCATATATTTGCAGGGTATGTGACTTTTTCATTGGAAAGAGGAATTTAGTATTGATCATTCTCGGGTTTAAAGAAAAGGGGAAGTGTAACCTGAAGTAAAATAATCAGGTTGTTTTTATTCTCTGCACAGCTTGTCTGAGTGCGTTGAATTTAGGCAAGGATGTTATACATTTTTTCAGTGTTACAGGATCATCATGCTAGATACACTAAAATGTCCTGCTATGGCTTGGTACAGATCAAGTTACTGTATAAATGGGTGGACTTGTGATATTTTGTGTCATGCTCCTAAATGTTCTGTACTGAATTTGGGGTTCCCTTCTACTATCAGCATAGTCAATCTGCTTTAACGTCTTTTTCAGTCAGCGTTTCTTCCTACATAGCAAGATATCTGTTAGTGAACTTTGTTCCTTTTTATGATAGACCTAAATCCTAAAGGCAATATTGATTTAAACAGAAGGGTCTTTGAAACTCCTATAAAGCTTTTCATGCTGTAAGCTATAAGCTGGCTCTTCAGATCTTTAAATATTGCTTCTCTTTGTTTCCAGAATGCATGTCAGACCATCTTAAAAAGACTTGAGCCTATCAAACAGTCTAATCCCAAAGGATCCTGGGAAGACTGGGTAAGCTGCCTGTATCTGTCACGAGATAAATGGGCATTGTCAGAGATTGTTTGGGTTGGCAAAGCCTGTATGCAGGTATATCCTCCACCCCTCTGCTAGCAAAGATCTGTGCAAAGACAGTGAGAGAGAAACCTGGCAAGGGAAGTAACCACCACTTGCAAGAGGTCATCCCCAAAACATCAGTTATGACTTTAGTACTGAGATTTCTCCAGATCCTGGTGCCTGTCCATGACAAACTTGACCAAATAGAAGTCTTGAGTGGTTACATATATCTTTCAGGCTACAGCCTTGGACAGGAAGAAACCTTATTCGTAATAATGAAGGGATTCTGTGGCAAAAATGACTTTGTGAGCTGCCATCCACCTCCTGTAGTGCTCCTTAGCTGCAATACCTCTGTACCCACAGTAGTAAGAGGTTAGTGTTCCGTAAGCTCTCAGGCCATTTTCAGATCCAAGTTCTCTTCAAGAGAGAAGCTCTGACTTTGTGATTTGCAAGTCAAGACGACTGTCAGTTTAACCTTTGTCTCAGGTTGAAAGTCTAACCTGTAGCTGAGAGCTGCACAAACAAGACCAAGCCTTATCCCCCTGCCAATGGGCAAGTTCTGCCCTTGGTAGCTGCTGACAGGGCTATTTGGGGAAGCAGCTGCATCATGATGTTTTCCTTTGCACTGCTGGTGCTGGGTAGCATGAAAGCTGCGTGTCACTGGACACCTTCTATTCATGCTCTCCTGGAAATGTGTTTGGGGTAGCTCATTTGCTGTGGTTGGACGATTACTGCTTTCAAACTCTTGTTCACTTTGCCAGATTAAAGCCGCATACGAGAACTGCGTCAGTCTGTCGGCAACGGGGTTTTATAGGTGAGTGGATGTTCATACTGTAGAGGCACAGCTTCTGCTCGACTGGGAAATGCTGGAGGATTTACAGCCCCTATCCCCTGACTCTGCTCTAAATTGGGGCTGCATTCCGTCTCCTACCTAGGAATGTTAAGCTGAGGTTAACACAATCCTGGCTGTAGAGAATCAGCTCCTGATGGAGCACAGCTCTTGAGGCCAAGTTCAAATCTCATGTAAATCTGAAGTAGATCTAACTTCACTCTAGGTGACCTAGGTCTGAGGAGGCATAAATGAAATCAGAGCTTTGCCTGGGGCTCTGCTCTGTGTCAACCTCGTGACTTAGTTTTGCACTAGAACCATCATGCAGGGGTAAAAAGGAGGCAGGGGTTTGTCCTTGAGGACAAAGCTGCTTATGGCAATTGGCTGGAGCAGTATCCTGTTTGTTGTGGCATGAGGAGATACCAATGCTTCCAGTTTCATTCTCCCACTTTAAACTGTGTCTGGTTCCTGTGCAGTTCTGAAATGAGGCACTTTTCTTAGCTTTACTGCTGGAGGAAACCAGAGATCCATCATCTTAGAGGCAGAGAGGTTAACATAAAACAAACTAAACACAGTGTTGGAGAGCTTATTTGGACTAAAACACAATATGAGCTCATTTCTGTTGCATCTCTGAAATGTGTTTTTTCTCTTAACCAAGTGACTGTCAGTATTTTAATAATCCAGTTTTCAGATAAAGTATAAAATGCCAGATACAAAGTTTGCCATGAGCTGGGCTTAAATCACTTCTTAGCTTAATCCAGTTTCTGGTTCAACTTGCTTATGCTCTGAAATTTAATGACCTCCAGGAGATGTTCAACTGCACTCCGAAAGCAAAAGATTTTCTACTGGCTTGGTAGGAATGAATTCATAATAGTCATCACGAGCCCTGAGATTCATGGGAAACTAAAGGCTAAAACAGTTGGATAGATTCAGTCAGGTTTTGGAACACAGAGCAGCTTTAGCAGATCTCTTGTTCATACTTTTTTGCATGGGCTTGACAGAAGGGCTGACCCAAAAGTGAATAAGGATTTCTTGCAGTGTGATTGTATTCATTTTGACTGTTCATTGAATGAAATGTGGTTTTGTTTTCCTCTGTGTTCAGAATTCCTGACCTTGGCTACGACTTTGAGAAGAATGAAGGGAAACCGTTCTGCTACTTCAGTTACGGCGTTGCTTGCTCCGAGGTTGAGATAGATTGCCTGACAGGTGACCACAAGGTGAGGGGGTCAGCAGTGAAATAGCCCTCTGTGTTTAGGTGAAGGAAACATTCACAGGGAGTTAGAACAAATACTGGGTGTCAGCCTGTTCCTAGCTCTGCCATTGGTCTGGTGTGACCTTCAGCGAATTTCTTAACTCCTCTGTTCCACAGTGCAACAGTCCATAAAGTATAATAAACCGATAATTATCTACCCTGGGGGGATACTAGGAGGCTTAATGGATGATTGCAAAAGTTATTGGATTTGCTTAAGTAAGAGATAGCAGCACTGTGTTAGCACAGAAAGAACAGAAACATTCTGGAATTGAGTTAATCATTAAAAATCTCACCAAAGACTTTTAGAAAGAAAGAAAAGAGACAAAAGTATTTCATCAGAATCTGACCTAGTTGGTTATGCTCAGGTGCAGAGCACTGACAAGAGCAGCTGGGAACCAATGTAAACTGGGTCCCTGCATCCCTGGGGAAAACCTCAGTGGGTTCCTTTAGTTTACTTTAGGGATGAACCTCAGATTAAAAGTCAGTTGAACTGAGATAGATGGTTGAACACTGGCCAAGTGTGGGTAGCGGTTGGATATATTACTCCTCCTCATACAAGACCAGGGGGTACAAGCTGCAGTGTTCTGTGCTGATTTAGTCTTTATTTCTGCCTTTCAGAACATTCGCACAGACATTGTTATGGATGTTGGTACCAGTCTGAACCCAGCCATAGATATAGGACAGGTAAGTAAAACAGTTCTACCAAGTGCCCACACTACTCTCAGGCTTTTCTTGAGCAGCCATTATCCCTCTCCAGGTTGTGCCTTTGCAAACAGAGCGTTTCAAACTTGGGTATGCAGTGAGGCTTACTTAGCTATGAAAACCAGTTTGACTTAACTATGCAGTAAGCACAGAATTATGTAAGGAAATCCCCTTTTGGACTTTTTTTTTTCCTCAGACATTAAGACTATAGGATATTCTCCAGTTACCACCACACTGATGCTTGTCAGCCTCTGCCTTGCCTAAGGAATGAATCCAGAAAATACTAATATGATGGAATAACCTCATCCCAGGCTTGGTTTCTGCAGTGTGGTATATGAGACTAAATCCCACACTCCTATCTGTCAACATCAAGTCCCACTTAACTCAGTGAAAATTCTTCTGTGAATAAAGAGATTCTGTTCTCCAGCTACTGCTGTGTGGGAATCTCAATAGGAAGTTGTACCAGTCACTTAGCTTGCAAATTCCTTGGGCAGGGACAAGCTTAAGTCCATATTTTGTGCAGTAGTAATCACAATGATACCTCTCAGCAAATAAAGGTAAGAAACGCAGGGTTTGATGTGCTAAGAGATGAAATGTTAGGTGTCTGCACATGCTCATCTAGCCATTTTAGCTCCCTTGGTATCTCTAGATGTTGATGTAGTGTGATTCCTGCTGCTTTAGCTCAAATGAAACTTCATTGAAAGCAACATTTTTCCTGAAAGAGACATTTTTGGAAGTGGCCAAGGGGAGAAGGAGCCTTTCCATCTTCACAGCCTGTCAGCTTGGGTACAAAGAGGTGGGCTGTACAGAGCCTGTCAAAGACATCTCAATTTCCTGTGTCCTTTGAGGAATTGCTGCAGAGGATCTAGGGGCACAGGAAAGGATATTGTGTGACTGCAGGAGCAAGAGTACAGAGAGCTAGGTTTATGAGTGTTCGTGCCAGATATTTAGACTGCTCTGCCTCTATGAGCATAGAGGGCAGAGCTGCTTCATGTCAGGTTGTTGAAGCACATCCTCCTCTCGTAGCTGCTTCCCCCCTTTTTTCCCCTCCTAAAATTTACAGTGGTCTTTAGTATTTGAATGGATACGGGAGTGTTTTTTGCAGGTGTCTGTGCTGGTCACCTGAGAATATGCAGTACTTAGGAAAGCATTTATACTGAAATAGAAAGTGTAAAAGAGTTTATCTTCAGGTATATCATCTTCAGTCTTCTTCTTCTTTGAATTACCAGCAAGTACAACTCATTCAGTGGTAACCTGCCTGTGAAAGAATGAATATTTTGGCACTGATTTCCTTTTTTCCCTTGCTTCCTCAGAGAATTCCTGTCCTGCGTTTGCAGCGTATCTGCTTGTGTGTATTTGTGAATTGCTTCACCTGCCAGGGCAATGCAGCCACATCTTTATGGGAACACAGGGACTGTGCAAAGCTGCCAAGCTGTACTCAGCAGAAGGGACAAGGGTTTAGGGATGAAAAGTGGGAAATTAGTCGAGAGGGGAGGGCTGGAAACTCTGGTAGAAATCATCACTGTTTGTTCCAGTGCAGGGAGGAACAGCAGCAAAAAATATGTAACCTTGTTTGGATGTGTTTGTAGATAGAAGGAGCATTTGTCCAAGGCCTTGGGCTCTTCACCATGGAGGAGCTACGCTATTCTCCTGAAGGAAACTTGTATACCCGAGGGCCTGGGATGTACAAAATCCCAGCGTTTGGAGACATCCCAACGGAGTTCTATGTGTCTCTTCTCCGTGACTGTCCAAACAGCAAGGCAGTTTATTCATCCAAGGTATACCTGTGAGATCTGCAGGCCTCTTCCTGCTCTATAACTCTGGGTGTGATGATGCATGTGTGTAAATAGTCTATCTTGCTATGCTGGCTGTATTCTGGCGTCAGGAGGGATGCATATTATCCTTTATAGTTAGGAAGAACTGAAATGACCTGCACGTTGCTGTCCTGATTGTCCATTAGAGAGAACTGAAGTGGCTTTACTGGTGTAACAGAGGCCACAGCCTTCCCCTGCATGTCAGTTCCCTGGTTGCTCTTCCCCAGCACCAGAGCCACCACTGCAGATAACGTTTCCAGCAGTGCCGCTTCCCCAGCTCTGATACACCAACATCTTGTGTCTGAGTTTGTTTCTATACTCTTTCAGTGCTCATGACACCCTTAAAGGTCCATTATTAATCCATGTGTCCTAAAGGTCCATTATTAATCCATGGGCTGCTCCCACTGCAGTCAGTGCTGTTCTCTGCAGTTAGTGAGGGCTGCACAGAGCGGGGCTGCATGTACAGCTTCAATGAATTTGCTTTACTTATGGTTTAACAGAACATTTAGAGGCCATCTAACATCCTTATCTGTATATGCCTGGCCTGCTTCCTTAGAGATTCCCATTTCCCCTTCATCCACAGGAACATCCTCATCAAGGAGAAGGTTTTGGGTGATCAGTGGTGATGGCAATTAAGAAAAAAGGATATGGCAGGGACCTCAGTACTAGATAATACTTGTGTAATCCCTGAGGAAGGCATTTCTGCTAGTTTGCAAGGACCTCTAGTGATGGAGCATCATGGTCTCTGTCCCGACAGCTCACCACTCATTTATCTGAATTCCCTTTGCTGCAGTTTTAGCACCATCCCAAAGTTTGTGGGAATGGGTTAGTCCCTTTTTAGTTTGTAACAGCCTTGCTGTGCCAGACAGCTTGTGTTTTCCTACTGTCTCTTCTTTAAATGGACCGAGAGCTGTTTTAGCTCAGTCTTACCTCACCAATACCATGTGGCAGACTGGAGGCTGGTTTAGCTTCATGTTTCCCCACTGATCGCATCTGGTAGACTCAGGCTCACGTCTGGAAGGCAAGGGGGTGTTTTGGCTTGGCCTTTGCTTCCTGACCACATCTGGGAGACGGAGACATTACAAAGAAGGCATGAGGAATGCAAACAATTCCTGATTGTCACATAAGGCTTGGTTATCTTTCTTTAGCTTCATTAGTTTTTCAAGGGCCAGGACTGTTTTGGGCTGCAGCCTCACTCTTGCTTGTACTCTGTCTAGGCTGTGGGAGAACCACCTCTGTTCCTGTCTGCCTCGGTGTTCTATGCCATTAAAGATGCCATCTACTCAGCAAGGAAGGACTCTGGCTTGACTGAACCGTTCAGGCTGGACAGTCCTGCCACCCCAGAGAGGATCCGCAATGCTTGTGTGGATATCTTCACCAAAATGGTAATAGCTTCTGGTTCCATAGTCTGCTTCCTACCCCATAGGATGGAGTGTGTGTGCTGGTCACAGGTCTGGGATTAGGGCAAGATCAAAGGCTGGGGCCTTGCTTAAGCAGATGGGGTTCATTTCATGGGTGTTATCCTTCATTTAACATGCCACCAAATGAGAGACCAATCCACAGACCAGCACTGCTAGGGCTCCTATTGCAGGAAAGGTTGCTATACAGTATCATGAAGCTGCAGTTCCTCCAAGTGCTGTCTGTAGAAGGAAGGCCCTGACTTGTTGCCCTGATGCTCCTGACTATCTTTCTTCTCTCAGGGAATCACCACCACTAGCATATCTTGCAGGTCCATTCTGTGATTTAATGGTGTCCCTCAGGGAGGGAGGGAGAGGAAAATGTTACTGAAAATACTCACTTCTTCTCAGTGTTATGATCACAGGAGTCCTCTTAGAGGCTGCGGGCTTGATCTGAATGATAACAGCACAGGAGTCAACCCTTTCCCTGTTTCTTCATGGCTTCCTTCTCTGTTAACAGTGTTGTGACAGGGCTGCATGGGAGTTGGTCCCTGCACAGGGGCCTGCTGATTGCAGTATACTCAGGAAACAGCTGTCTGTCCAGGTGGGCATCCTCCAGGCTTTTGCCAGCTTGAACCCCTTTGTGGTTAACAGCAAAACCTGGTTATCTTGGTCATTCCCACCTGACACCTGCATCACTGTCTGAGAGGAGGACTTGGAAATGGTTTTGAGAACTTGCACAAGCTGTTGACCATCAGCCCTTCAGCTAGAGCCAGGCCCAGCCTCTAACAGAGGTGCCATGAAACAGACGTCTCTGTGTTTTGAAGGACTGGGGTATGAGCTCAGGTCTTCAATGGTACAAAGTCACCCATCTCAAAAGGAGCATAGTGGGGCACTCCAAACCCAGGCCAGGACCTTCATCTGTTGCTAACTTACTTTGTTCTCTCTTTACAGTGCCCTTCTGCTGAGCCAGGGACCTTTAAGCCATGGTCCGTGCGTGTGTAGAAGGGAAGCTTGAGGAGCAAACTCTCCTCCTGAAACTGAGCTGACACCAGAGGGACCACAAGGCAGTAGGACTATAATGGGAAAAATAAATCTGTGTTCATGCGGCTCATCCACTGATTCATGGAGCTTTCACATTTAATTGTCCAATCATTGTTTCCTCTAGCAGAAGGAATTGCTGCCAGATTATAGCTGTGATGTAAATTCAAATGAAGAGTAAGTGGAAGCTGATGTTATCCAGATGTTATTGGAAAATCTTCCAGGTTTCATTTAAAACTGCTGCAAGGATGGGAGACATGCTTATTGCCAGCCAATGTGCAATAGCAGGGTGGTTGTTTCTTCTTTTTCTGCTGTAGGGAAAAGATGGATCACCTTGTGATGCTGTGCCAAGAACTTAACTGCATTATACCCAGACAAACAGTCCTCTAGCTGAGATGGGGGAAGGCACGAGAGGCACTGAGGGCTGGACCCTGCTGTGTCCCTACTGCACACAAAGCCTGATATACGCTAGAGGAAGATGAGGAGTTTTGATGTAAGCTAACGAAGATGGTCTTGCCTATTTAACAAAAGTGGTTCACATGAATATCCTAAAATGTGACCAATCACTGATTATCCTATGTTAAATGACTATTGCTGTGTCTCCACTGGGGCTTTAATGAATTCTTAGCTCATGTACTACTGATTAAAGATAAAAACTAGACCTGTACCAAGAAGACTTGCAGCAAGATGCTGCTTCATTAGCACAGCCTTTTCCCACCCCACGCATCCACATCTTTCCCCATCCTTTAAATAAGAAAGGACATCGGAGATCTTGGAATGACAGAGAAAGCTACTCATGATTGTTCCCAAGGCAGTTTATACCGGCCCAGGAAAGGGAGAGGAGGATGGACACAGCTGGGGATTAGCTGGTTCTGGGTGCCCTCTAGGGTCAGTCCCTTGCTGTCGTGCTATTGCCTTGCCTTCTTTTCCAAACAATTCTTGAGTTTGCTGAATGTAAGAGAATGAGAATGTTTTGCTACAGGGACTGCTTGTCTGAAAAATGTGCTGTGTGATGACCTCGTGTCTTCTGGGTTGAATGCATTTTTCGTGTTGGATTTAACGCTGAGCATCCCTCTTCCCAGGTTTTGTCACTCAGATTTAACACTGTAGCATCATGTTATCTCTAGGTGATATCAGCCATGTACTGTACCTGCTCATCATGTGCCAACTCTTATCTGTTTCTCTGGCCCATAGCTTTATAAAGATGTCCCTTTTCAACCTTTGCACTCCTAGGGTCATCCAAAAAATATGGTGCAAGAGGATGTAACTCCATTGCCTTATATAAGATTTTGCTCACATACAAACTGCTTAAAACTGGCCTCCATCACAGGGCTTAATGTATGCACAGTTTGAAATATGTTCTTTAAGCACTCCAGGGTATATAGCTTGGAAATGTGCAGATTTATTTCTTGGCTTAAAATACTATGGTTCTACCACCTAGAAGAAGCACAGTTGTGTATGTGAGTTGCAGAAAGTATTTTGTGCCTGCTGGGCTTGCTATGTAATTGTTTTGTTAATTGAAATATGATATTGCTGTTTCTTAAGCATAGAACATGTGCTAATGCAGAACACGGGCAGCTACAGGCAAAGAGTATGATGTTGAGGAGCTTCCAGCGTTGTCTCAGGGGAGTGTTCACAAGAGACCTGTGGGTGTCCTGGAACATGGTGGGATGTCACCAGCAGGATGAGTAAGTGCTCTTTACCCCTCATGGTTCTGGAGGCACCTTTTCCATTGTTTCAGAAGGGGTTTGTGTGTCTCACAGCCCCGGTGACTGCCTGGTCAGGTGGCATTTGTAAGTGAGAGCTATCAAGTCTCTCTTTCGTTATTTGCTTTGTGTGTTAATTTGAAGTGTATTTGCCACGTGAGGTGTATGTGCAGTGACCAGAGCAGGCTAGTTCAGTGCAGACCTTAGCATGTGGAGCCCATTTTTGCTGCAGCACCAGTGAGCCACTGTTTCCCAGGCCCCAGTCCTTGCCCTCAAACTCACTGCAGCTCAGGGCCCTCTTATTACCCTTCCACAGCTGATGGAAGGAGGAAACCACTTCCTTTTGGGGTGCACTGGAATTGAAAGTAAATTATATCAAACACCTGAGGGAGGGGGGGATAGTATAAAATCAGGGTTGCAAAGTAATTACAGAAACTGGTTTTGAGGGTGTAGGAAAAAGGGAAGCTTGGAGACTAATAGGAGTTTACAGAGCAATCATAGTAATCCCTGTGGGTGAGACAGGCACCCTAAGGAACACAAAGCTGAGGTTTTCATTTCACCTCTTGGTGTCTTAACATTTCATACATTGGCTTCCTGTGGAACTAAACGCCAGGCACTTTAGGGAAGGAGGGCTGGCAGGAATAATGTGGGCTGCTCTACAAAGCTGCCTGAGAATGGCTCTCCTGCTGTCGGTGCATGGCACTGCCCTCTGCTAGGGGCTGCATTAGATCTTGTTACACACATCTCCCTGCACGGGATTTCAGCTTGCCATTGCTGAAGGGAAGGCTGCTTATGAAGAGAAGAATGCTCCCAATGAAATACAGTATGGATGCAGTCCTTCCAGAAGTGTAGTCTCCGAAGAGGAACTATGCCACCTTGCCAGGCTGTACAGTATTACGCACAATAAGGGCACTAAGTAATAATTGCTGTACCTGGGTAGTTTGTGTGAGGGTGGAAGGAGGCCATCTGATCTGATGTCTAAATGTTATTGATAGCATTGTCCTTTGGAGAGAGAGGGAAGCCAAGTTCTCAGTAATTTCAGTTTTAGGTCAATTCTAATCAGCATCTTTCACTATTGTTCTTTAATGAGCATTGTCAAATCAGTGTCCTTGTCACATGAATGTATGTGGAATTCTCTGTGAACGTCACAACACTGCAAAATAAAGCTAAAAATTGTTCTGGAAACAAGTGTGCTATGGTAAAAATCTGTCGCAATCTGAAAGCTGGACAGCTTGTCCTTGGTGTTGGGCAAGGATAGACCCTTCCCAGAGGCCGGTCAGCTCAGTGGCCAAGGGTGGGAGAGGACGGGTGGTTGCCGTGTCCTCATCTCATCACTAGTGAGTGGAGCTGAAAGCTAGGCTTGGCCCATTTGAGCCAGTCCTGTAAAGGAGGAACCTTGCTCAAAACTTGCGAGTGGAGCAAGCATTATGTGTTCCTGGGGCCCTCTTGAGCCTAAACATGCAGGAGATGTTAACCAGGAACAGTTCACACAGTATGCATAAAACCAAATGATGGGCTGTGGCTGTCCTTCCCTGAGCATGGAAGGGTTGGGAACATCACCAGTGGTTCCTCAGGAGGGTATGCCACGCTGTGCCTTATCTCACCTACTTGTGTGCAGTAGACAGACTCCACATGATGTGCTCCTTTGGGACTGCTTCATGTATCTGCATGGAGGGACTTGTCCCAAGGAAGCCATCGCCAAACCTCTTGGCCCAAAAGGGAGCCCAGAACACAACACGGCAGTGCAGGCAGAGCGCAGGTGGATGGTGCTGTGATTTGCAGGAGGTCCAACTCACCCCACCCCACCCCACTAGGCTTGCTGAGAGTTGTTCAACCCCATCACAGCTCAATTCATGCACTTTTCCAAATCCCAATGCCATGTGTTTCCCTAGTGCCTGCTATTGCCACATTTAAACACAATTCAGCCGTGTGAAGGGCCTTGGTACCCTGTCCCCTCTCTGATGTGCCTTTTGTAGCGGTGACACGGACAAGTGTGCTGCATGCAGCTCTGGAGCGAGGGTCTTCCTGTGACCCAGGCGGTATCACAAAGCACTACCATTTGGATTACATCTCTCCAAACTGTTCCCTCCAGCTGGAATATTGCTACCAGGTCTCCGGGGTGCTGTGGAGGTCTGACAGAAAGCTGCTGGAGAACGGGAAAGCAGCAAGGTCCCAGCGGTAGAAACGAGACAGCTGCTGTTTCTGCTGGAGGGACAGCTCGCTGAACATCTGCTCTGATAACCAGCCGTAGGTCCACTGCACTTGGCTGTCGGTGAACTCAGGGAGGAGGCTGTCCACAGCCAGCCCAGCCCTCCGCAGCAGGTAGCCCAGCTCCTGCCTGAGGAAGCCGAACATCACCACGTAGTCGTACTGGACAAGGCAGGGCCGGCAGATGCTCACGAGAGGTTTCCAAGCCATGCTGGCGTTGCGTGGCCCGCTGTCTAGAACATCCTGAACAAAGCTGCTGAAGGAAGGGCTGCTGCCCATGCCTTGCATGAACGTGGAGATCAGCCTGTGGAAAGGGTCCCTGACAAACAGCACTTTGGTGTAGGACCCTAACGCTGCCTCTATCTCCGTCAGGTTGAACTTGCTCAGCTGCGTCTCCCGCGCGTGATGCCAAGGGTAGGGAAGCGGCACCGGGAGCGTCACGTTTTCCTTCTCCAGCTTTCCCAAAAGCTGCTGCCATTCCTCCGTCCCTGTCGATGGCACTTGGCAGTAGAGGAGGTCCAGCTTGGTGCTGACCCTCAAACTCGAGAGCAGGCAGGCTCTGTCCTCTGGGCTCCTCGGCAGCGTGGTCACTTTACCCTGTTGGCTGCAGAAAGCTCTTAGTCTCTTCTTCCTGAGCTGCTGGATGTGAAGGAAGGTGTCCAGCGTCAAAGTGAAGCCTTCCTCTGCCCTGGGGGCCAGGTCACCTGGGAAACGAGATGGAGGGTGACTAAAGTTCATAGTGGACCTCTGCCTTGAGCTGGCACAGGATGCTGTGGCAGGTCCTTTTCCAGCCAGTGCAGTGTGGAAAGGACATAGCATAAAGAAAGAAGATGGGTAAGGGAAGGGAGACCTGCCCTGCGTGGTAAAGAGCTCAGGAAATGGGTTTCTGTCCCTGTGAATGTGGGGGAGCTTGGACACACAGACCCCTCTTTCCCCAAAAAACTGTGTCTGAGCACTGACCTGGACTGTAGCAGTGCGCCACAGGCCCCCTTCTCCACTAAATCAGAGCTTTTGCCTTTATCTCCTCACTTTCAACTGAGCTTGACGGAGGTAAGTTTACCAAAATGAGTCAGAAATATTGTGGGAGCTGAGAAGTAGTAAATTGCTTCTGTTAATTAGCTAACATCAGCTATGAAATGTATGTGAAAGCAAGAGATTATCCTTAATGGCTCAGGGCAATTTAGGGATCCAAACACACTTCTTGCATCACTTCCATATGTAAATTCTTTTTACTGTAGATAAAAAGGCAAAAGCAAATAAAACCCAAAAAGCAAACAGAAGCCAGAAGAAAACCAAGCAAATATAAAAGGCAAAAGCAAACAAAAAGCCTCTGTTGCAGTGGGTTTAATTTCTCAGATTCCAGCTTTGCTTTTTGTTCTTTATCTTCTCGGGTTTGATGTGAAGAGGCCAGAGCGGGTTTGAATGCAGGGGATGAATACCCGCCTTGCTGCTTCATTCCTTTACAGCAGCAGCGCATCCGCCTCATCTGCTCAGTGTAGGCATTTGGCAGCCCTGGGGAGACGGTCCCAGGTCCTTGGGAAGTTAATTCTTTCCCACTGATTTGTGGAGGCCATGGCACAGGGAACAGATACACAGCTAAAAGTAGGAAAAGGTCTGCAGGAGCCCAGGAAGAAACACAGCAATGCCTGAAGCTGTCCTGGGCTTCAACGGCCCAGCCCCACACCGGCAAGAAAATCTAGTGATGGCTTTGCCCTGGATTAAGCAGCACTGAAGGGGAAGGCCAGGTTGGACAGAGCCTTGGGTAACCTGGTCTAGTGTGAGGGGTCCCTGCCCATGGCAGGGGGTTGCAACTGGATGTGCTTAAGGTCCCTTCCAACCCAAACCATTCTGTGTTTTTTTTTAGGCAAGAGAGGCATTAATCATCGATTTCCAGGCTCCCTCCTGCCTCCCCAACAACATTTCACCCTTCCCAGCAAAGGTTTGGGGGTTACCTTCAGCAATTTCCCCACCACACCTGGTATCAATGACCCCACTAAGGACATAAAGCTGCAGGGCTCCATGGCAAGGGCTTTCTCCCCAGGTTACCCTGCCCCAGGAGCTGTGCAAACAGCATCTTCCGTGCTGTAAGCATTTGCCCACCCAGACCCCCCAAAGAAATCCCCAGGCCGTTCATTTCCCCCGGGTACAGAAGCGCTGCCTCCATGCGGGACCACCACTGTGCCCCTGGCATTACCTCTGCGTCCAGTGGCCAGGCTCTGGAGCAGCAGCTTCCAGCTGAGGAAGGTGGCGATGCCCAGGGCAGCGGAGAAGATGAGGCGGGGAAGGAAGCGCATTTCTTGGGTGCTGCTGCAATGCTTGGAGCTGAGCACAGTGCGGGCAAGCGGGCAGGGACAGGGAGAGAAGGTGGCGGGGAACCTCCTGTGTTTATTTAATAGGAAACACACCCAGAGCCGGGTTAAAGTACTGTTTGGGCAGCAGCCCTGCTCGGCTAGGGGCAGGGAAATGGCCTGAAGCACAAAAGGTGCCTCCTGCTCTGTGTTTACAAGGTGAGCTTTTGAGGCAGAATCTGCCTTTTCCTTCAACGGCTTTGGCATCCTCAGTACTCAGCCACACCAGGTGAGTGCGGTCCCTGTGAAAACCACCCTGCAGACCCAGGTAGGGAGAGATTCCCCCATCCCCTGATACACCTTGTTCTCTGCTGGCTTTGCCTCCCGACAAAGCGCTGCTGTGGGGAGTGTTCAGTGATGAACAAGTGAATGGTGGGCTCTGGGTCCTGTCTCCCTAGTGCTGGAGGGTCTTTTAAGGTAGAAGCTGGGGCAGGGGAGGGGATGTGATGGGGCACATCCAGTGTTAGATGTTCCGGTCCAGGAGGGACTGCTGAACTGCTGCCTGTGCCCTTTTTGCTGAGGGCTGCTTAAAATCTGTGACCGCTGCTTGTGGTGTGAGAGATCCCAAGCACAGCGAAGGCCATGTTATACCACAAAGGGAGTGCTTCCCCAGTGAGAAGCAGCCTGACCAGGGAGTGTGACAACTGTAAAGACCAGGGCAAAGGGGACCGCAGCAGCCTGGGGAGTGTGACCTGCTCCCATTCGGCCCCGTGCTTATATCATGGCTACAAAGACTTCAAACCAGGCAGTGGTTATATACAGATTGCCTTTTCATGGCGAGATCTGCTGCCAGCAGCATCCCATGGGCTGGCACGGGGCAGGGACACACTGGCTGAAAGACCCTGCACCTGCGAGGGGCTGTAGTGGCCAAAGGAGATGATGGGATTGCTGCTTCAGAGCCTGGGGAGAGCAAGCGGGCAGGCTGGGCACAAGGGCTGTGCTGTATGGGGGCCTGCCGGTGAAGCTACCCCGGAGGGTGGAAACCCGTCTTGTAGGAGGTCCTGGCGGAGCCCGGTCTTGTGCCACGGGTGGATTTGCCGTCGCTCGGACTGGACAACCGTGTCTTTCCCACCAGAGGGTGCTCCAGCCCCGAGGAACGTCTCTGCTGCGCTTCTCCGCTGCCGTTTAAAGAGCCATCATCACCATCGTTACGGTCGCAGCTGCGGCTTTCAAAGCCTGCTGGGTCTCCTTCGAGCCTTGGGAAAACTGCTGGGACTCTGGGAAAGGCTGTGGGATGCTTTTCATCCCTCAGTGAGGAGGATGCCTGTCCTTTAGGTGATGGCATCCTGATGGGATCACGTCTTGCAGCAGGACCCCGCTGCACGCATCCCTGCAACCCGTCCCTCCAAACACAGGAGGAGCACGGTGCAGCCTGAGGTTGGGGTATATGGGGGCAGAAGTGAATGGCCACCCTTTGCTTCAGGTCCCAGCAGAAGACACACATTTCAGTGTGAGCTGCAGTGCCGTGCTTGCTTCTCTCAGTGTAATAGGTCTTAGGGCAGGAGGATGCCTGAGTGAAGGCATTATTAGTAACTCATTATTAACCATGAAATTATTATTATTAACAATAATTAATATTAACTGAAAATAGGTGTTTTTTTGTGTCAGTAACACAAGACCACCCCACAGGGGCTGCACAGGGGTCGGTAAATCACTGCAGTGCAGGGCTCTGCAGCGAAGGTTTGCTGGTGTGGAGGGCAGCGCCATCAGCTTCCCTGCTCCTGGGTACCAACCCGGTGCTTCCCTGCAGCTCCCGAAGCTGCTCTGAGGCAGCTGGGCAGCAGCATCCATGGCCTGGACACACACCAGAGCCCTACAGGGGCTCAGCAGGAGCTCGCCCAGCTGCCAACAGACCTGGCTTGAGCACAAGGATGTGCTTTATATTAGCGTTCTGCAGTCAGGTTAGTGAATCAGAGGGGCAGAAGCAGCTCTGCGAGCTCTCCTCACTAAGCAGGTGGCAGCAGCATGTGCCTTCCTGCATCAGAATGTCACATTGCAGCAGGGACTGTCCCAGCCGCAGCCCTGCTGAGCAAAAATGCAGCTGGAGCTGGTGCAGAGAAATGAACTTTAGCTGTGTTTTACAATCATAAGGTGAGAGCATAAAGATGTTCTCTGCCTGAGGGGCAGGGAAACAGCGAAACCCCCCCCTTTGCTTTGCATTGCAAAGTTTTACCAGTATGGGCCTTTTCAGAGGAGCACGAGATGCAGGGTCTGCTGTGCCTTTGTGACCTGCAAACAGGAGGAAACTTCTGAGTTTAGGGGGAAGAGAGGAGCAGGGAACTTCTCCTCTCCTTCCCTGACTTGTATGTGCCATTTAAATGGGTTTTGTCCCCAGGTTTTCTTTTCTTTGTGGTGCTGTTTCCTCCAGTGTGTTAGACACTTCAGATTTAAACTTGGTGTCAGGCTTTCCCTGCTCGTCTCCCATTGACTGCATAGGAGTGGTTGACAAGGCCAAGACCAATCCTTGGTAGGAAGCAGAAGGCTTCCTACCTTATGTTATAGGGAGGCAGCACCCTTTTCGGGCACAGAGGCTGAGCAAGGCAAGGAAACACACTTGATCCTACTCAATGCAAGTACACAAGGGAATTAATTAGGGAATTCATGTGAAATTAAACTTTATTTGGGCACACTCTTATTGCTGTACATGTGAGAAAAACCTACTCTCCTTTTCTTTCCAGTCAGCATTGTCTGAATACGTATTTCCCGATTCAGTCCCACCAATAGCTCTAACTGGGTTGCCTCAGGCTCCCTGTTTTTCCCCTCATAGGACGCAAACCCTTTGGAGATATTCTTACATGTTAATAAACATCCTCATCTTCGGCCTTCCCGCATTCCTCCCACACTTCCAAGTCGTGCTAAGTATTGTCTTGTGTGACCATGACCTGCAGGCGCTGGTGTGCCGGTCCCCCCTTCCTTGTTCCTTGTTGCTCCTCGTGCTGGCGCGTGTGGGAATGTGAACTCTGCAAAGTGATGGCAAACGCTGCCTCATCCAGCGAGGGATGTTTTTACATTGCGGGTAAAGGAAGAGCGGATGGGAAACCTTCTTCTTCTCCTCCTCCCACTTCTTGTTTGGAAACTCGGGACACAACATCTATGTTTTGCATGTGAAGTTGGGTCTGTCGCGCAGCAGAAACGCGGGAGCAGCTGGAAGAGGAACAAGCTGCCCTATTTAACATGGAAAATGCTTGTTGTCTTTGGAAAGGACAGTCCTAGAAGTCTTTTAAGGCTGCTGGCTCTGGATTCCTCCATATCAAATGTTAAGGAGGAAGTGGGTATCTGTGGATAAACTGGGGGTGCTGCAAGCTGAGGGAGTGACCTCTTCTCCACCACATCTCCTGATCCCTGAGCTCCTCTCTGTGTGCTCACGGAGAAGCTTGGCTGCCCAGCTTGCTTCAACACCAGGGCATAGACTTGACCCCATTGCCTTTAGTCACAGGGACTGCTTTGGATGAGGTTTAGCACTTTAATGCATGAACCAGAGCATGTCTGTAAACACTGGCTCCTTTAGTCTCATGGTCATTTAAGAGATTTGGCCAAACGTGCTTGTTCTTGGCTGCTTCCTTCCTGGTGGGGAGGATTTGGGGGTTTCTTCTATCTGGCTCTTGCCAGATGTGGGCAGCTGTGGGGTAAGTGAATCAGCCCAATACCCTGGGCCTGTGTCCATCTCCTCCAGCACTTGCCACCAAGCTGACAGTGTTAGCAGGGAGGGCAGAAAGGTGGACATTTGTCCTTCTGCATTGGATGGAGAGCACCAGGCTGGCTTCAGGCAGGAGGGGAGAAAGCTGGAGGCCACAGGGACTGGCCAGTGCTGGACCAGAAATAGTTATGCAAGGCGGAAAGGAAAGGAAAGCAAGTTCACATTGCACCAAGGAGCAGGTAGGACAATGTTTGGAGGGGTTGTACAACTCTGGCGCTTCCTGTTTTCCGTGGGCAGGAGCTGTGATTGTCACTTCTTATTCAGCTCCTCATCCTGGGAGGAAGACACTATCGGGCTGTCCAGGGGCAGCAGGATGTTTATGTGGTAGGCTGAGTCAAGGTACTGCTTTTAATACTCCCCGGAGCAGAGTCATTGGGGGAAATGTACATTTTAGGTTTTATTTTTATTTAGAAAGGGCTCATAAACATCCAAAGAGCTTTGGGATTGCCATGCAGGCTGCGTGCCTCCCTGCCAGCAGCGAGATGTGTTCTTCTCAGGCTGTTACACAAGGATTTTACAAGGTGCCATGAGCTATTGGTAATTCAGGGAGGATTCGTGTAATTAGTGATGCTATATTGAGAAGCTTGGCTTAATTACTACAGAAGCTGTTAAACTTTGCGTCGACTTAGCTTAGGGCCCAATGTCAACGTGAACACCTAGTGCTGGTGGAGAGGGGGTAAAGGCCACCTTGTAACCTCCACCATATGCCTGCCCAAAGGACCCATCTCTGCCCACTTTGTTAAGGACAAGTGTGTTTCCCTGGGAGAGGGGAGTCATGGGACTCAGTGAGCCTGAACTTCTTAAAACCTGAAGGATTGCAGCCATCATCTCTCTGTGGTAACAGGTGGGAATCCCATGGGAGAGAAAATAGCGTGTTTGGATCTGCATGTGCAGGGGAAGGATGCTCACGGGGCTAGTGGCTGTCATCTCTATCCCATCACCTGCCATGGGACCAGCAGCCATCCATCCTATCCCCCCCAGCCCATCCCTTCCTATGGGAGCAGCAGACATCCATCCCATCACCTGCATCTCACCCCCTACCATGGGCACATCAACTCTTCACAGAGCTTCATGGCCTGCTTGGACAGCACAGGACCTTTTACCACAGAGAGTTTCTCTAACAAGATCTTGGTCTTGCTTTGCATCCCAAGCACCTCCCAGCTCCTCCTGGCCTTCCTTGCTCTTCCTCAGACTGTTAAAATGCAGTAGGAGCGTGGGGAGAAGCCTGGAGTGCTCACAGACAGACCAGGCAGTGCCGGCGTATGTGTGGTAATATGGTAAATCGAGTCCTTCACCTTTGCTTTCTCATTTGTTTAACATGAACCAGGTCTTGTCCTGGCTG